CCAGTCCTCTGCCTCCGCCACCCTCTTCTCAGACATTTCTCCATCTCCTCTGTGATCTAACTATTTTTACCTCTCCCTCCTCCTATCACACGCCGCCCTCCCTCACGTTATAATTATGATTGACACCACATTACAGGGACTCTCTTCCGAGTTGCGCTGCTGTTCCTCAGTTTCTCCTCATCGGATCTATTTCTGTCTTCTCCCTGCTTGTCTTAGCGCAGCGTCGTCCTTGAAGAACAGGGCCGCAATTAGAAAAGCAGCGTGTCAATAGGATGGTGCCCCCGCATTCATCTTCATTAACCTCGTTTGTATGTGCTCTCTGTGTGTGTGTGTGTGAGTTTCATGTGTGTTTGAAAGAGACACGGCAGTGTCCAAGACTTTCCCGGGTGTCTGTGGTTTGTTTGTTTACCACGTGATTATACAGCATTGCAAAGTAAATTAGAGACAAATGCGTGCTTATTGTCTGTCGTTAAAACGCTGACAATGTGAATGTTGGCGAAAAGGAAGGAGAGGAGAGAAAAGAGGAAAAAAAAAAAAAAATCTGAGCCAGAAGAAGAGAAGCAAGGAGGCTAGTAGGGCAAGAACGGCCTCAGGTCCTGGCAGATGGTGTTTTATATTATATGTATGCAAAACACAGAGACACTGTGTCACACATGCAATAAGGTTTTTACAGTTTTTTTTTTTGTTTTTTATTTTTTCAAATTTCTCAATATGTGCTGGGTGTTTGTTTTCACGGTAACGTACAGTATTTATTTTACAGCCGCGTGCGTCGCGTCGCTTCTTTGTTCTCCGAGATTGTTATCGTGGCAGACAGCTGCAACATAAAAGAACTCCGCCGTTCACTTTTGGTTTTTATGCACACGTCTCTTTATGGTGTTTCTGCTCAATGCATCAGTACACACACATGCACACTGCAGCTCCTCGTGAGGACCCTCCGTTGACTTTTATCTCACTGCTTTCACCAACTCTAACCTAAACCTGAAGGTTTACAACAGTTACTACCTGTAACCACAGCCTCACTGGCTGTAGCTAACGGCTAACGAAAACGAAAACATGCGAAAAGGAAATTTCCAAACGGCTAACGAAAACGAAAACATGCGAAATGGAAATTTCTATTCAAAAAAACATTTTGAATATACTTTGTTTTTCTCTGATTGGAGGATTTTGTATTTTGTGTATCTTGGACTTCTGACATTTTCCAGCGTTTGTAACCATTGCTGCATCATAACTGACAAAAAGAAAATGTCCAGTTTCCCCTTTGCATACATTAGTGCGTTTGTCCATGTTTGAGCTGTGGCTGCGTCTGCAGTCATCAGGCTGAGCCTGTGTGTAATTGGGGGAATATGGGTCAGTTGATGAGCAGTGAGTGTGAGAATCAGATGCTGAACATGATGAGCTGCTCACTGAATTTTTTTTTTTTTTTTTTTCCATATGCGGAGGCAGCACACACACACACACACACACACACAGAGTCAATATTTTTGATGTTTGATTTTGTTCACCCTTAACCCTGACCTCCACGTGATTCAACACAGTGACATCATCATCTTCACAACCAATCAGCTACAGTACTGTTTCTCTGTTGAACACATGGCACTTTTATTGTAATTGTGTCATTATACTCTTCAATATCATTAATTATCATACTTATCATGTTATTGTATCATTTCTAAAAAATATTTAAAAAATAGTACGTTTGAAAAATGTATATGAAACATGAAAAAAGTGATGATGGCTTCAATTAAACTTAAAAAATAATATTCAAAAAGTGCTAGAACATAGGAGATAAAGAATGACAAGAAGATAATATTATATAAAATATACAAATATAGATCAAAGAATATTAAATAGATAAATAAAAGAACGCATGAAGCAAAAATAAAATTAATGAGCTCTAAAAAAAGCACAAAAACGTGATTATATCTTTGGAAGAAAACCTGTGTCAGATCCTGCGTCCCCTCCTCCCTTTACTCCTTTGTCCAGCACAGGATTATCTGGACAGGACTAATGAAGGCGTGCAAATTAAAATTGATTTTGTGACGGAAAGATCTCCCACATGTAAGTGACAAGGTGTTCTCCCGTCCCGCACGTCACTGTCTCTCACACTCGCCTGAAGAAACAGAACAGGAAAAGTTTGGAGTTTAAATTAACCAAAGGCATTGATTATGTGATTTTCTTTCACTTCGCTCGATCACATGCACAAGCAGAGAAAACGTAATGGGAAATACCCTGGACTGTTTCAATTAGAAGAAACAAACCAGGTATTGATGGGTGTGTGGGTCTGGTGCACCATCCTGTGGCCTTTTCTCTCTGGTGACACGTGGTGGCCTGAACGCCAACGCAACAAGCAGGGAATTATCAGTGAAGTATTTTATATATTTGGTTTTTATCTGGTGATTTTTAAAATCAAGAGTTCTAGTCCTACGTTTGATTCAGTGTTAGAGAGAGTTTTGTGAGTAAACTTTAACATTTTTGCTCCAAAGGTTATTTTGGAGGAGGCGTTGACTCCTTAGAGCAGACGTTAGGTACACGTTCTGATCGGTACCACGATCACATGCTAGTTAGGGGTCGACAACAAGGCCACGCCCTTTGAACCCCAACACGTTCAACGTCTGCGTGAGCGTCTGTGTGTGTGTGTGTGTGTGTCTGTCCCCGCGCTTGCCCCATTTTCTCGTCCAGCCAGGACAGTGTGAGGGTGTGAGAGGGGGAGGTACGGGCGGACTGACCTATTTCCTCCTCACTTCTAGTCCTTCCTCGTAGTTTGGCTTTTGTGTGTACGCGAGAGCCTCGAGTAACAATGAGAGCAGCTTGAAGGGAGAAGCTCGGATGCGAGGGGATGCTGCGTTCGTGGACCTGCTGGAAAACCAGCAGCAGGGCACAGAGAGGGCGTAGCTGCTACATCCAGGCTGTGAGTCTAATGAGTAGAAAGTTAATGAGCAGCTCTGATGAATAGAGACTGCACCAGCAGATGGCTGCAGCCACATGGTCGTCCACAGAAGATACCCAGCCACGCTTCCTCATTCACCTGCCACACCGTTAGCTCTTCTCTCTCTCTCTGTGTGTGTTTTCACAGACAAATTCATACAACGCTGACGGTGAGCAGCAGAGTGGTTTGTAATAAACTGAGTAAACACGCTTCCAAAAAAATCAATTGCTCCTTTATTAGAATATGTATGGCTTCACATTTCCATTGACAACATGTAGAGTCATACAGCTTACCCTGTACAAACAACTCATCTCTGCAACAATGGTGTAGTAAAAGCTGCGTTTGGAACGTTGTCACTTTCACCGTCTGTTAATAATTATTACGACGCATTTAATGTTTAACCTTTTTGGCGTCGCCTTAAATTAAAAAAAAAATGTTGGGAAGAGAAAGATGATTTAGGATGAGTTTTCCAGCCGTACTGTGGACACGGATGGTAGTGGGTGTCATCGGTCGTCGAGGTCATTTACAGGCTATGTTACAGATCAATTCTTTGCCCCTGGAGCCCCCCCACCCCCCCCGCCGCGCCCCCACTGGGAGTCACATGGCTCAGCATAAGCACGCTAATAGAAAACACACACACGCAAACACCAGACACAAGGGGTTAATTTGAAACACCTGCACATTTATGACAGAGACGCTACTTTTATGCCATAAACAAGAAACAGGAAGTGAGGTTTGTATGTGTATGGATTTCCATAATGATGATGAATGGAGCTGCATCATCCACCATCACTTCAGCTTCATCTAATGATGGGAACATTATCATATCTGGTTGGCTGTATAGTTGACCACCTCTCACATTTTCTGCGTAAAACATAAAAACACAATGTTGTATAAAAACAATAAAAAAAAACAACCCACATTCCAGAGAAGGAATTATTTTTATATTTTCCGAAGCTGAATAACAAATCATTTCCTGCATAAAAACCGGGCATAAAAAAAAACAAAAACCGTCTCAGCTCAGAAGCAGTCCTCTGAGGAGACATTCTGCTAAAACATTTAAAGTGCTTGGTTTTCCTGTGCCGTGAAGGTAAAGTTGGTGTCATAAAGCTTCACACAGGTGCAGTCAGGAGGGAGGTGACAAAGGCAGAGGGACCTGGAGCTGCAGAGCAGTGTGTGTGTGTGTGTTTGTAAATCTGCGCTCGTGCACTCGGAGCAGGACTACATTAATAGATGCACTTGTCTGGGACACGGCCGACTCTTGTAAACACTGCTTTAACACATGCACACACACTCACTTCTACAAAGAGTGTGTGGACAAATGTGCTTTCTGCACGCTCTCTCTCTCTCTCTCTCTCTGTCTCTCTCTCTCAAACACACACACACCGACACCAGTAACACAACAAAGCCATTTGCAGATTTTTCTCTTTTTTTGCGTGAACCTGCCTGAATATGGAGCAGTCATTAAACATTAACTAAGGATACATTAGAGCGCACTCTACAGGGCGACGGCCGTCGTCGTCGTCGTCTTCTGAAGCTCAGGCTGGTTAATGCAGCAGGACGGGATTTGACAGGAGTCGCCCTTTCCAGTGATATTAGCAGCTCAAGTCCCAGATTTTTGACCCTGAATCAGAGCTTCCTCATCACTAGTCAGGACAAAACACCAAACACAGCCAGGAACTGATCAGATTAGTCACGTTTTACATAGGTTTTTGCTACTAATGCTGAAGAAATAGTGGCACTTTGGCTCTGTCGTTGGTGTGGAACCCCAGGGTTCACCTCCTGGGCAGGTTCGAAGCCCGGTCAGGGCGGTTGGTACCTTCCAGTGGACTCATTAACCGCAGGAAGGTTCAGGAGGACTTAGACTTAGTTAAACAATCTGATGATCTAAATCTGACTAGTAAACTAACTGACTAGTTAGTGACATCTAAGACACCTCTGTTGTGTCCGTCTCATTTCAATGAATGTTAAAGTTGTATAAGACTGAGGTCACTTTGAAAAACTTTGGATCTGTACTTAATTTTTTGGCCCCTGGGTCTGATTTGAAGGAGTCAGGTTTATTATCACCACGACTGTCGTTTAAAAAGAATCAGATATCGGTGACATTTCCCTGCAGTCCAGCGAATACTCGACCCCAACCTGAACCTCGGACACCACACCTTCCTCACCGTTCCTGTCCTCTGTCCCAGGTGGCCGACAGCAGGACACAGGTCTGTGGGGAATGTGGTTCATATGTCCACAAGGTGCTGTGATCATACCCTTACACATGCAGCCATATGGCAGCAACGTTAGCCGCAGCTAACCGTCAGCCTCTCGTGTCAGCCGTTTGTGGAGAAACGCGAAATTTTAAATTGAATTTGCGATGAATGGGTTTATTTGAACAACAGCAAAAACCAATTTATAGAATAATTTGATGCGTAACGTTAGCTCCTGAAGCGTACCTGTCATTTTCACTGGAAAGAAAATCAAATCAAAACAATGTATTTTTGTTGTTTCCGTGTCTTCAGAGTGTAGTCGGTGAATGTCTGTTTTGCTCCATCCACATTTGCCCCAGTGTGCTAAGGATGAAGAGGGAGGGGGGCGGGGGGGCAGAACAGATGGGGAGCTGGCAGCCATCTTTTACTCAGCTAGGTTGAGCAGGCACGTGGGTGGGTGTGTTAATTAGCAGAAAACATGTGCGTGTTTGTGTGTGCATATTGCCTTTGTGTGCAGGGGCACAATAGGCACAATTACCCCTGCTTGAGAGGCCCGCGTGCACGGGTGTGTGTGTGTGTGTGTTGGGGGGGGTCAGCTGACATGACGGGGGGGGGGGGGGTGGATTTCAACAATGGTTCAACTGCAGGCTTTGTGTGTACAGAGCAGAGGGCTGACAAGTGTCGACTATTATTGACTATTTACACACTGCTACACATGCCTGCTCACGTGCACTGAACACACACACACACACACACATTATAGCTGCCCCACTGCCACTCTCACTTGTCTTTTTATTTAACTCTCTCTATCTCCATCACACACACACAAACACACACACACTGACATGCGCTATGAGTACATTCATCAGTGTATCAGTGTCAATCAGTGAAAGAGGGAGGGAAGGGAAAACCCCTGCGAGCGCATCACTCTGACGGAAGGCTGGACCCAGTGTCACCCTTCAAGACGTTTGAGAGTGTGTCAGGGCGGTTGAGTATATCTTTGTTTCTATATGTATTTAGATGGATTAGCCAGGAAGCTAGCAGACAGAGCTGCGAACGTCACATATTTATATGAAGACGTCACGTCTGCGACGTGGCTTATTTTTCAATTACAATGTCATTGATGAAGTCACGGAGACGTGACGCCGGATCACACGGGATCTCCGGTGGTCAATCCCAGAGCCGTGTTCTAACACGACCTCTCAATTAGACCTATTGATTGGCCTCAGCGTCGGCCGTCCAAACACACGCTCAAAGGTCAGATCAACACGGAGGCCGTGATTGACCGCGGCGGGCAGAGACGTGGACGGCTCAGAGACGCCGGCGTGGTTTCCACTGTGACAGAGACTGAGTGATGGCGTTTATATTGACAACTCGTCTTTAAAGAGTGGACATATTATTTTTTTGAAATACTACGAATCAGCAAATCTCCTCAAAAGACAACCATTCCATCACTTCCTGTTTATCTTGGGCCAACATTATTGACAGTTTTGTTTTTTGAACCAGCTTCGTCGTTCAAAGGTCAAGGTTGGTTTCATACTGAAGGAGCTGTCAGATCATAGGATGTTGGATGTTTTGTTTGTTTTTTTCCTCCTCATGAAGAAGAAACTGCTCTGGAGGTTTACTGGGATGACATTTTTTTACTTTTTATTTTTATTTACAATGATACAGAGATGGCGGGGGGGGGGGACTGAAGTATGACGGTCGGTGCTTTGGCTTTAACAGACAATAATCAGTGACCTTTGTTCTGCGACTCTGATGGTGTGGAGACGGTGACGGTGAATGGCTGGTGATGATGATGCCACTGATGAATGTTGATTTGCGTGGATTAACTCTGGTACACGGGCGACCGTTATGAGTATTTGATTATCTCTAGTGTATTTATAGGCATTTGTATGAAGGGATTTCTGATGAACACACTATGATTATAGCAGTAAGCTCTCTCTCTCTCTCTCTCTCTCCCTCTCTCTCCCTCTCTCTCTCCCTGCTGGGCAGTGACACTCCTCTGCCACCAGCACTCTAATAGGGAGGGACCAGGCCGCTCACTCAGTGCCACTAATGCAGCTCGGTGCCCCAGGCTATGGGCTAAGCTGTAGCACACTGCATCACACACACACACACACACATACACAGACAATAGCAAGTGCACACACTGTGTGTGTATTTAAAAAACTCCGTCCCTTGTCCGCAGCCAGTGGAGTCAAAACAACGGTGGAGCGGCTGCTGAGTGTTTACCTTTACTGAGAGACTTTTAGGGAAGGACCGAGTCACTTTGTTGTTGAAGTGAAGATACATTAATGAGAGAAACACTAGAGGGTAGGTTTTTGGACCATTGTGGTAGGGTGCTGTGTGTGTGTAAGAGAGAAGAGTGTGTGTGTGTGTGTTTTTCTCCGGAGACTCTCATTATCACTGCTGTCCCAGATGTCACCGAGCACATGAAACACGTCATGAATAATGGAGTCCTATTTCTACATCTCTTCCCCATTTCTCTCCTCCGCTCCCGTCGTCTTTCCCTTCCGTCCTCCGTCTCCTCTGATGCTCCTGCCGATGCCTAATCTCTCTTCGGCACCGTCTCTATCCGAGACGGGACATTTAGCTTTACGCGGCGTCGTCGTCGGCCCGTCTGGTTTGAACGGGCTTTATGGAGGAGAACATGGCGTCTCCGCAGCGTTGCGTTGAGTTATATGTATGCAAACGATGTCTCTCGCATACTGTTGGCTTTTTATTCCAGCGCCCCTCGCTGTCCACTCAGCCCTTTTTTAAAGGGCTGCCCCGCCGTCCCCTCCCCCCAGTGTTTACTCTTGAAAGTCACACAGGGCAAATTGGGACAGCAGAAGTCATCGGAGCAGAATAAATGTGGTCGCACTGTCGCAGGGAAACTAGACTCTGCTTTGTGTCATCCATCCTCCTGCCCTTAACCTCTACCTCTGTCTGCCCCGTCCACACCTTCTCCAGTCCTTCTCCAGTTTCCTGACGTTCAGTTTGTGTGACACAAGGCGGCAGAAGAAGAGGGAGCTGAAAGATGAAGGGAGCAGTGGTTCATACTGTTTCACTGATGTAGAGAAACCACAGCTAGCATTACACAGTGAAGCGTTGCTTTTTAATGAAAACATGACCGAGCTGTAGCCACCCCCCCATATCACCCACCCACCCACACACACTCCTCCACCTAAACATCTCAGAAGTGAAAGCTCCTGCTTTTCTGTGGTGGTGTTGATTCGTCTCTGCCCATTTTTTGTTGTTTTTTTTTTACATTTTCCCACAAAATGTGACAAAGGTGAACTGTTCTAGTGAGTGGATTCCGAACTTCTTTTTTTTTTTCTGCAGCGCCCCACTTTTGTAAATAGGACTAATGTCGAGCCAGCGCACGTCGACACTTTCACAGCTCCTGCTTCACATCTCCACTGAACTTTATTTTTTATTTTCAAAAACCAATGAGAAAGCAAGAAAAAAAATCACAAATCGGTGCAATTTTTTTTAGTCAGCTTCACGTCTCTAGAGTTAGTATCTCACAATCTCTCCTTCGGCTTCAGTCAAGCCCCTTAAATGCAGCACTAAACCATTCCAGAGCCTTCTGGTCTGTAGGCTGGTTTTTTTTATCCTAGATCTTCTGTCGTTTGTCATTGTTTGGGCTTCTGTTTTATATATTTTTATATTTTGTTTTTAGACATGCGTGATAAGCCTTAACACATTAGAACTAAAGCCTTCTAGATCTGATTGTTGTTGTCTGTTGGTTTTATTTTTACAGTTTCTTCTCAAAGACGATATAAAATATATTGCAACAAAAACGTAAATCGCAGTAAAAGTCCAGCTCCAAAAACTGCAGTGTCATCAACACCGTCTGTCCATCCATCCTTCTGTGTTCGTTTCTTTCTTTTTTTTTTAGTTTCTTTCATTCTTTCTGCCTTTCAGAACCAACACTAGGAGTCATGGGTGGCTCAGGTCTCACGCAGAGTTTTTCAGTGTTTACACTTCTGGACTGTGGCTCTTCCTCAGCTCACGTTAACAAAGTCTAGGGTGTTTTTGTTGTTGTTGTTGTTGTTGTTGTTTGGTGGGTGTTTTTTTTTTTACCCCAGAGCTGCAGTGGCGGTTGTTTCACATGGGCTGTGCCAATAAAAGCTGCTTTGAGTGTGAACTGAATGGAGTTAAGAGGCTGCTATTCATACGTGTTAAGTTAAGTGTGCAGCAGAATAAAAGCCAGGAAAGTGTATATATTTAATTGGCTGACACCTGCTTCTTTCTCCTCAGACTTTTTTTTTTTAATGTACACAGCACAGAGAGACGGAGAGCAAAGGGAGGCTTGAGTGGGCTCCCACTTTGAATGCAGATGCAACCCCCTCTTTTTTTTTTGCATAAAGGTTTGAAAAGAGGGTAGAACACAGACATGGACTGTTATCTCCACCACTATTTACCCCCCAACCCCGCCCCCTCCGGCCCCAATCTTACCCTTTTTGCCTTTTACCCTTTTCACTGCCTCTTTCTCTCCCTCCCTAAATCACACTGCTGTGTTCAACGTTGCTGATTTTCTGATTTTTGTTTTTTACACATTTTTTATGTGGTGCTAAATTTAATGCGCAGTTTATAATTTTTTTTTTTTTTTTTTGCTCATGCACAGATATTTTTCTTGTCCTATTTTAAGCCTGTTACTGTGTGTGGCGTGTCTGCGTTTGTGAGCTCCAAGCATATTCCAGCTCACACAGAGTATCTGCAGAATTTACTCTGTTATTTTCCCAATCTTTCTCCTTTGTCTTCTTCTTCTTCTCCTTCTTCTTCTTCTTCTCGTGACAGTCACAAGACTTTGATCCACTCGTCTTCTCTCCTCCCCCTCCTCTTACTCTCTCTCTTTCAAATTCTTCTTGGCAACTCACTGTCAATTGCACGAGGAAGATGTTCAGAACGTGATTCCACCAACGTCGACGATTGAATTTCAATGTAAACGCAGGCTACAAAAAAAACAAAAACAATTTCTTAAAGAAAATAATAACGTCTTCCATTTGTGACTTTTCTATTCATAACTATTTGCAATGATACAGAGATGGAGGGAAACTGAAGTATGACGGTTGGTGCCAAACCAACGTGTCCAACACTGCCTATCAGTGTTGAAGGCTAAGACTTCATGGCGATTCATGACCAAAGACGTGGATCACAGGTTGAGCTCTTTATTTCAACATATTGCGATACTATAGGTACGGCGATACACTGAGTTTTTTGGGTTTTTTTTTAAGGTAATTATAGTAAAACTGTCAGGATATTAAACTAAAGTAGCTGTGTACTGTTGGACCCCCGACCAGAAGACAAAGAGAGTTTCCACACAAGACGCTTTAACCCCTGAAAAAAATACAGAAAAAAAAAAAAACTCTAGAAAAGCCAGACTAGCACAACCTCAGCTTGGTCGTCTGCAGAGCAGTTTGCGTAATCAGCACATTGTTAATGCGAAGCATCCCAGATTTATTTCCTTTTTGCACCTAGTGGAAACTACCCAGAATGCAGAGCAGTGAAGTTCTAATGACTTCAGAGGAGCTACAGTGGTGCCGAAAAAAAGGAAAACAGGAAATGTCACAAAGAGTCAAACACATGACCTGTGCACTGGGCTAAACCTAAAATGCTAAGCTAAATCTGTGGCGTTCCTTCTTTGGAAAAGGGCCGTCTATAAAACGTCATAGTCAGGAATCAGGTGAGACCCAGTGCTGCTGTGGTCAAGACAGAAAACAGGAAATGTCACAAAGAGTCAAACACATGGCCTGTGCACTGGGCTAAACCTAAAATGCTAAGCTAAATCTGTCCGTCTATAAAACGTCATAGTCAGGTATCAGGTGAGACCCAGTGCTGCCAAGACAAGTTTTGATCGTTTATTATTTATAAAACCTTTTTTTTTTTGGTCAAATGCTGAAGGTCTTTAAAATAAAAAATGCATATTATTGAAGGCACACTATCATATCACTGTGTTGGTCCTGCGGGGAGACAGAACCCACCGCCTTTGACCATCAGCATCAGATATTGAGTGTAAGCGTAAAGACTCCGGGGATGAGACTGTAGTGATCCGCCAGAAGGAAAACAGTGATATGAGCTCGATAGCTCATTAGCCTTGATTTTATATGGACTCCATACTGTCAACTCCCACTGGAGGAAGAGCATCGAGCTTGAATGTTTATGCAGTTTAATTTTTTTTTTGCACAGGAGAAGCTCAGTTTTAAGGTAGTTTGGTGTAAAAGTGTTTTTAAAAAAGACGATTAGAAGGGAATAAATAACTTATAATGACTTTTTTTAAAAATGCAGCTTAACAATAATTAGTAAAACTGGAATAATCTTCAAACATCCGTTCAGGAAGCATGAAAACATTTCCTACTTTGTACAAGTTTGGGAGCTGTAGTGATTAGCTACTCACAGCAACTGAACAGCTATATTTAGCAACTTAGTTACAAATGCACCTTTAAAAAAAAAAAAAGAAAAGAAAATCTCTCCATTGATTTCACTTCCTGCACCGATTTGCAGCCATGTTTATTTTCCGTCAGGCACGGCTGGGTTTCATTGTTTTGTCCTTGATGACTGTAAACACGCTGCACTTTAATAACTGCTGAAAACTACAGCGGATCCTTAACAGGGTGGCAGCGAGGAGACCCTAGCAACAGGGAGAGGATGGAGGAACGGTGAGAGTGGAAGGGAGGTAGAGAGGGAGGGAAGCAGGGAGGGAGGGAGGCATGAGAGGAAAGGGAAGGAGAGAGGGAGGAAGATGCAGAACATCAATAAATAATGGCCCCACTGAGGAGGTAGAAATATGGGCCTCGTTATCTGTGCGCCGACGCCTTCATTTGCATGTGAGAAAATGAGGCTGCTACTAACGCTCATATATATATATATATATATATATAATGTACACACACACATACATGTATCTACACAAAAAACAGTATATGTCCTATTTATAGTTCCTGTCAAACCTTTATTTTTACCCATTCTCTCTCACACACATTTACATCACCATTATTCCTCTCCTGTTGCCTCTTGTTCTTCTTCTTTTTCTTTTTTTTTACACTTTGTCATACGGCGTGTCGAACAGCAGATCTCATTTGTTATGTGACTGTAATGGTTCTCTAATGGTCGGATTAAAAGATGTCAAAAAGTGAGCGGAAATATATATTAGAAATTCACCGACAATTTCCGAATCTGCTTTGTGAATCTGCTGACTGAAAAACTCAAATATTTGTTGTTTTTTGTAACAAAAAAGTACCAGGAGTTTGTTTTTTTCTGGACTTTTAGAAGCTAGTTGCCCTGCCACAGGTCGTCGTCGACACTGTGTGTGTTTGTGTGTGTATACTTTTTTGGTCGTATTAATAATAATACTGACATGATCTGATTATACATTTAACACAACGGTCAACATTTAAACCTCACGTACAACAACGGGGTCTGCGCACCACTGATTTCCTTTGCACCACAGTCTCATGATTCTCTCCTTTTAAGTAAACTAACACACCTTTGATTACATTTTTTTAAATGCTATTATTGTTAGTATTTTATCTGTTACTTTTAGTGATTTTAATGACATAAATACAGTCAGTAAAATCTCTGTTTGTTGACTGGACTTGAAGTGTATTTAAATAGCCATAGTTAACCTTTTAGTGTTTTCTCTTCCCGCTGTCACACTTCCGTCCTCTCCCTGCACTTACACACCGAGATGAAAATAGCTTCCCCTCTGGATCCCATCTGCATCCAGGAGACATGAACAATTTTAGCAAACATAAGCAATTTTTTTTTTCCATGAATGAGTCTTAGTTTCCCTGAGAGTCGTACAGAAGCCCCACCATGTTTTTTTCTTCTTCCTCTGGGCAACGCAGCTCCTCTCACAGAGACTCTGTATGGATGAAGGAAACACTTTCACTTTAAATGAGTCATTCATGCGTTTTTTGTTGATTTTTAATACTGAATATTTAGTTGAAAAATATTTATTGTTACTAAAACTCTCTTTGATCGGTTCAGAATTTCTCTGGATACACATTCTGGGGGCAATTTTTTTTTTTAAACTTTTATTACAAAACTTTTTTCAGCCTTTAATAGTGGAGACAACACAATATGTTTTTTTTCTCATCCTCACAATTTTGGAATCCAGTTGTGGGCCGGATTCAGCTCGCAGGCCACCAGTTGATGATCACTGTGATATATTGTTTTTTTTCATGTATCTATGGAACAACTATTGTGTGTGAAGATCTGAGAATTAAAGCTCTACATAAATCATATTGTAGAGTGTGTTCCAGACGTTTAAATGACAGTAATGGAATCTTTGTCTCTATTTTATTCACACTTATAATCAATCACGGAAACATGTACACAAAACACACAGTATATTCTAAAAAATAAAAATAAGAGTAGGCAAGGGCAACTGATTCAGGGTGTAATAGGGGTAAATATTAGTTCAATATTTTTAGTTATTAAGTGAATGTTAAAAAAAAGTCCCTGGAGAATTATTATTATATACATTAAGAAGAGAATATTCACCTATAAAAGATCATTAAATTATTAAAAGAGATCTAAAATATTTGTACATTTGTGAATCAAATCTCATTTTTTTTATAATAATGAGCACAACACAGTTGGAAAAAATTATGTAACACCCCAAGTGCTTCACCATTTTGTTACTCAGGGAACCACCATGGATGTGTGTCTGGATGTTTGGCTGAATCGGTGTGTGTGTTCCTGTGTGTGTGTGTGTGTTTAAAACATGCTCTTGTGATGCATGTCGACTCTGCTCCTTGTTATCTCGTCAGCATGAATATAAAGCAGAGTGGGAGCGCAGTGATTTTGGTAATTAATATTTTACTCTGTCTGCCACTTTGCTTGGAGACAGAGCAGCACGCGCGGAGAGGAAGAGGGTGAGGAGAAAAGGGTGAGACAGAAACCAGGAGATAAACAAACGGCGTGGACGTAACGTGGGCTCAAACGGGACGGAAAGACGTTGGGAGTAATGTACAGTGGATGTATGGTTTAGTCCGCGTCGCTCAGGAGGCTGCAGATGGTAAATATAGCATCCAGCCTCCTGCTGCGGAACCAAAGTGTGGCTTTGACAGATCCAGCTGACTCCCCCCTCCTCCCTTGCCCCCTCTCTGTGACTGTGTCAGAGTGTTGTGACAGGCGAGTTGACGGTGTTGTGGGAGTAACCGTCTTAAAGTGCTGATTATCCTGTAAGGCTTCATTCTGGGGGGCCAACAAAGGCTGCTGGGGAAATTGCAGGTTGTGCCTCCCCTCAGGTCTAACACACTACAGTCCAGGCTCAGTGGATAACTGCTGCCTTTAAAAAAACACACCTCAGCAAGACTCTGACAAAGGCACACGAGCCGTGAGAGGTAAAATATTCATAAAAATAAACACAGGTGTTTTTGAAAAAGGAAGAAAAGACGCCGCCGGTGAGGAGCTGAAGTACACCAGTGATTTATTTCTTGGTTGTTGTTGTTTTTTTTATTGCCGGGAATGAACTTTTAGTCTAATGAAGCAAAACCATTTTGAAGCTGTCCAAAAGACTTTCTACTGCAAATAAATGGAGTAAGAAATAGGCAAAAAAACAACTCCTAGCAGTCCTAGCTGGATGTTGAAGGCGTGGGTCCAGAACTATCACAATACTCCAAAAAAAACGACGTTTTCTGGGGTTTATAACCCCTAACCCTAAGCTTATGTTTTCATTTCTGTTGTAAAATGAATGTCACTGTGTCGTTTCTAGGTAACAGGTTCTCCATCACCTCCTTTGGAGCTCTTTACATCTCAGACGTTCAGAAGGAGGACGCCCTCTCCACCTATCGCTGCATCACAAAACACAAGTACAGTGGCGAGACGCGGCAGAGCAATGGAGCCAGGCTCTCTGTCATGGGTGGGTCACATGACTAACTAACGCTTTTCTTTTCCTCCTTTGACTAAAGAAAAATAAAAAAATACTAATCCTGTCTCGTCCTCCAGACCCCAACGAGTCCTCGCCCACCATCCTGGACAGTTTCCAAGCAGGGGAGGTGAATGCAGGCCAGAGCATCGAGCTTCCCTGTACAGCGGGAGGTTACCCCAGCCCTACCGTGCGCTGGCTCAAAGATGGCCGCCCGTTGCCCTCAGACGCCCGCTGGACCCGGCGTTTGACGGGGTTGACCATCAGCGACCTGAGGCAAGAGGACAGTGGCAGCTACGCCTGCGAGGTCACCAACAGTTTTGGCTCAAAGGAAGTGTCTGGACAGCTTCATGTCATCGGTGTGTGAACACACACACACACACACACACATGCTCTCGGACTCCAACGCTGACTTCTCACTGAGTCACAGACACATTCAGAACTGTCCCTTTTTGGTTTGGAGGCAGACATGCGGTTTAAGTCACACCTAGAGTGTGTCCGTTGCAAAAATGTGTGCGAGCTGCATGACGCCCCGTCACATCAGCGCTGAGGAGGAGCGACAGAGCGGTAACTCACTCAGACTGAATCCATATTCTAGCTGCCAGCACCGGTCGGCATCAGGCAGACGGAGGGAGAGGGAGAGGAAGATGAGGGGTCACCCAGAGGCCGAGCAGACAAACAGACACCGGTGGAACGACATTATCTGCTAATGTTATAACGAGATCATAGGAGTGGCAGAGACGGACGACGGCGAGTGGCGTACACACGGGAGGGGGGGACAAAGAGGTGTGGGAAGGCGAGACAGAGGGAGAGACAAGAGCAGTGGTCGTCTTTGCCAGTGGGCACATCATGGCAGAACACTCTGTGACTCTGACAGGGCAGGGGGGGGAGGGAGGGAGGGGTGAGGCACAACGCTGCCCCCCAGCATACACCACCAGCTGCCTTATTGCTCACTGACATTTACACACACACACAAACATACTGTACACATACATACACACACATGTACATACTCGCCCCCCCCCCCTCACACACACACACACACACTCACAGTGGACAGAGATGTGAAGCGATATCTCCAGCTGCTTCTTTAATGACTGTGTCAAACTGATTGTGTCTGCAGTTCTGATCGTGCGCTCACTTTGCAGCTCGGTGAAAAAGATACTTCCTTTTTGGGAGTATCGTCTTTCAGTGTGAATGTGATTTACAGAAAACAGGAAGTCGTCAAACTTTAGAAATCAATTTTTCTGAATTTCTGCGGAAAATGTTAAAAATGTGAACTGGACGTGATTTTAAACGACACTGTTAGCGGCCAACAGTATAAAAAAATTATATCACGCGTAAAAATAAAATCTAATATTTTATTTTATTATAATATAATAAAATATGTCAAAAATAAGATTAGAAAAAAGCTTCATTGTCAGTGCACTGCTACGAAAGGCGTTGAATATCTTTCAACTTGAACTAATGAAATATTTATAAAGAAAAACACAAGAAGTTTTTGTAGATTTTTATCTCTGCTGTGAACCTTTGACAGCTTCTGCTGCTGCGTAGAATATAATATAAGTCAGAGCTCTACGCTGTCTCTGCTGGTGATATCCTGAGAAGCAGGAGGTGTTGGACCGTCACCTGATTCGTTGGTTAAAAATAGTTTCTTATTGAGTTTAATTCATTATTAACCACGTGAAGGTTTAAAAATTAACATCCCTAACGTAGGCGTTGTGATAGCAATGGATTTCACTTCCTCCACATCTGTCACTGGGAGAAACAAAATGTGTTTTTTTGACAAAACCTCTGGTTTATTTCATATATAATAGTAATGTTGTGATTACAAAACAGTTCTTCATTCTCCCTCTTATTTTTTGTTTTTATCTTTTCTCAGATCCACTGCGAGTGACCTTATCGCCCAAGAATCTGAAAACAGGCATCAGCAGCACACTGTTCTTCACCTGCACCGTGGAGGGATCCCCAGAATACACCATCTCCTGGTACAGGAACACAGAACCCATCATGCCTGACCAGCACATCTCCATCCAGGGACAACACAACGACACGCTGCAGATCACCGCGGCTCAGAAGTTCCACTCCGGAGCCTACCAGTGCTTTGCCTCCAGAAAAGGCCACACAGCTCAGGACTTTTCCATTATTCTGCTGGAGGGTACGTAGACATTCAGAGGTTCACGGCAGGTGTTTTATGACATCACTGTCACCACTGTCTTTAAATTATAAGGTCCTACAATTTACTGCTTTATATCTGAATATTTCTGTTTTAAAATCCAGCTGCACATCCTTTGGATAGACACATAAATATGGAGTACAAATATTTTAGCGTTTAACGTAAAACAACGACGGCGTTGTCTGCAGATTTCCATCAATGTTTGACCTCTTGTCCATCCCGTCTCCTTGGTTCCAGATGGCACACCGCGTATAGTGGCCTCCTTCAGCGAGCGGGTGGTGAACCCCGGCGAACCCTTCTCCCTCAAATGTTCAGCCAAAGGAGCCCCTCCCCCCTCGATCACCTGGACGCTGGATGACGAGCCCGTGGTGCGAGACTCCACCTACAAGACCAGCCAGTACACCCTGTCGGACGGCCTGACCGTGTCGCACGTCAACGTCAGCAGCCCGCTCATCAGAGATGGGGGAGTGTACCGCTGCGTCGCACGCAACTCGGCCGGCAGCGCAGAGTACCAAGCGCGCATAAACGTAAGAGGTGCCTGTCTGCTTTTCAATATAAACGCACTCTACACGGCCACACAAACACACAGAGGCTAGGGAGAAGGATAGGACATCTATCTGTCTGTCTGTCTGTCTCTCTGTCTGTCAGTCATCATCTGATCGTCTATGACCTGTGTATCATCAGTTATCTATCTGTGTCTATCATCTTCTATATCAGGTGATTAGGTTATTATAGGGCTGTCACTTTTTCCCAATATGAGTTGGTTTAAATCAATATTATTCAGAGATGTTCGTTGATCTGATGAGGCTCGTTCACCCATCAAAACATGGAAGGAAACGTTCTCCCTGCGGGTTCTTGAAGTTCCTCAAACTCCGCTCAAACGGACACGCAGACGTTAAGAGCCTCTTTGAAGCAAAATGGATGTGTTTTTCCTGGGATGTGTATTGACAAGAATCTGGCGATCTGACACATATCACGATACGATACACTGAGGGATCTACGATTGTAATCATTAGAGAAGAAATAAATGAAAGCATCTGGACAATCAGCTAGTGGTCGCAGGTTTAAACACAACCTAAACATAATTAGATGTCATGAATATTTGCATGTTAATTGCTAATTTAAAAACAAAAATGATACAGCGCTGTAGAAAAAAATTGCAAAATTGCATATAATCTTTGGTCAAGGACAAGGCTTTAATAATTAGTCAAGTTTAAAATTAATAATACATAACCTACTTTAACCAGTCCAGCATGGACTCTGACCTGATTTTAGTAATAACATTTCATCTTTATGTCCTGACCTAAACAGATGTTTGAATCTCGGGTGAAAAGTGACAGCCCTAGTTAACGACACATACAAATCTTCACTCAGGTTTTAGTAAAGGGAGCAAAACTAACCTCCCTGTCCAACCTGTCAACTCGCCCCAATCACTCTACCCCTCAACCTTTATCTCTTCACTTCCTGTCTCCGTGTCTGCTCCTCTTCTACTCTGCCATGACCTGCTCCTCCCTCCATCCTCTGTCTCTCTGTCTCTGTCTCCATCCCCAACCCCCCCTCTCTTCCCTGTGTCTCCAGGTCCACCTCGAATCAGACCCATGCGGGACATTACAGCAGTGGCTGGCAGGAACACCTACATAACCTGCCGCGTGATTGGTTACCCGTATTATTCCATCAAGTGGCTGAAGGACGGCATGCAGCTGCCGGATAATCACCGTCAAGTGTTGTTTGACAATGGAACCCTCAGACTGACGGACGTGCAGAAGGGCGCTGACGAGGGAACCTACTTATGTAGTGTCCTGATCCAGCCCCAGGTGTCGATCAACCAGACCGTCCACGTGACCGTCAAAGGTAAGAAGAAGGAGGGCAAAGGTACGGATGAGGTCGAAGGTCAGCGATAAGGAACAGGTCTGGTCCTGGGTCTGAATCACAGAACCCTGTACACATTTCTCATAACCTCTCTTCTAAAATATATCGAGAAATCGTGGTGCAGCAGCAGCAGCAGGGAATTTGGCTTTTGTCATTTTTTTTAGTGTGGATTTTACCATCTTTCCTGGCTGATTTGGTGATTCATCAAAATAGAAGTGCAACAATACGATATATCACAAGATTTAAGGGAATTTGGCTTTTGTCATTTTTTTTTAGTGTGGATTTTACTATCTTTCCTGGCTGATCTGGTGATTCATCAAAATACAAGTGCAACAGTACGATATATCACAAGATTTGTAATCACTAGAGAACAAATTAAAGAAAAATAAAATGAACCAACACCAGGAATATTTGATTGTTAACTGTCGATAAAAAAATAATCGATACAGTATCTCCTACAGCTTTTTACTCATATTTATTGACTTAGAGCATAATATTTTTATTCATCCAACAATTTTGAAGTCCATATTTTTTAGCTAACTTTTAGCTGTCCTTGGGATAACTGGGACATTTTTTTTTTTTTTTGCTATCCTGCTTTAGCTTCTTGGATTTTTTTGTTCTTATTTTTTAGTTGTGTCATGAGAATCTAATGTTGTACTACTACTAATGGAGTATAATGTGTATTTCTAGTGTGTGTGTGTGTATTCATTTGGTGGTGAGTTGGGTCAGGGTGGTGGGAGGGCAGCTGCAGAGGTGTTTAAGGCGGGCGTGCGTGTGTGCGTCTGCGTGCGAGTGTGTCTCTGATTTAATTAGATGAATAATAATGAAGCCTAGATTAAATCCCCCAGATGTCTCAGCTGTAGTTCCCCCCCCCCCCCCCAACCTCCATTACTATGGCAACACAATGACTTCCTCCTGCCAATTGGACTCCAACCAGAGCAGCTATTATGGGTACAGGAGATGGAGGAGGCTGAAGGGGGGGGGGAGTGGAGAGGAGAGAGGGTCCCACTGGCCAATGACCTTCCCTCTGCCTCTCAGCATCGCTCCAGATGGCCGCGGTGCCACTCTTCCACATCTGTCACTTCCTGTGTTCCACTCACTCTCTTGCCTCTTCCTTCCCTCTCTCTCTCGCCTTCTCCCGCCCTCCCTCCAGTGCCACCGCTCATCCAGCCCTTCGACATCCCCTCTACCTCAGTGGGGAAGCTCATGTACATCGCCTGCGTGGTGTCATCCGGGGACATGCCCATACGCATCACCTGGCACAAAGATGGCCAGCTCATCGTGCCAGGCTCCGCCTCTGGCGTGGCAATAGAGACCAAAGAGTTCATGAGCTCCCTGCAAATCTCCAAGGTGACACTGAAGCACAACGGCAACTACACCTGCATCGCCAGCAACGCCGCCGCCACCGTCAGCTGGGAGAGACAGTTGATAGTCACTGGTGAGGCACCCAGACAGACACGATGAGGAGTGGGTCGGGTCGAATGTGATGGTGGGCGTTCTCAGGGGCGATGAGTGTTGTTATTTGAGGAGCGGTTAAAATTTTTTTTTCTTGATGTTAGTTTCTATTTTAGTCAGTGACGTGCAGTGGCGTTAGAGGCAGGTGAGTCACTGAGAGTCGGACTAACAAACATCTGAACCCAACAAAGAAGTCTATCAGTTTGGTTAATTGCCTTTGTTTGTTTCATACATACATATATATATATATATATATATATATATTAGGAAATAGAAAGTTAACAATTTCTTAATAAACATTGACCAAATAATAAAGAGTTGAGGATGTATTTTTAACAAAACTTATTACAGTATTCTGTCAAGTTGTTCGACCCAATTATGGGTTAGTAATTGGGTCAACCTAGTATTTTGCCTCTTATTGTAAAATGAAAATAATAATAATTTAGCTGATCTTTTGGACAAATAAAAAATCAGGATCTCTGTTGTAAAAAAATTAACACAACCAATATTTTGTTTCTTCCTCACCCTCCAGATTGTACTGCTTCGTTAAGTGTCTGTTTTTTTTTGTTTTTGCTCCTCAGTGCCACCTCGTTTCGTGGTGCAGCCCAACAACCAGGACTGCATCTACGGCAAAGCTGGAGTTCTCAACTGTTCTGTGGAAGGTTATCCGCCGCCAAAGGTCATGTGGAAACACGCCAAAGGTAAAACCGGCGCTCAGTCCCCCTTCATGTCAGCACAGCAGTCGATCACAGAGATATGGCAACGTGGACTTTGTGTCGTGCAGGTGTGGGAAACCCTCAGCAGTACCACCCTGTCCCTCTGACCGGCCGGATCCAGATCATGTCAAACGGCTCTCTGCTCATCCGGCACGTCCTGGAGGATGACCGAGGCTACTACCTCTGTCAGGCCTCCAACGGCGTGGGCTCAGACATCAGTAAGAGCATGATCCTCACTGTCAAAAGTAAGTGTCAATCATTCTCNNAGACATAGCCCCTTTCATAGCAGCACCCCCTGCTGCACTCCGGGACAGCAGACGGTTTTTTTTTTTTTTTTTTTGGGAAGATATCTGCTCCTGTATGATGCACTCTTGCCCCAGGCAAGTGCGGCCTGAGCTGAACAGAACACATCTCATCAGTCCAGCACATTCTTAACTAAGGCTGTCTTTGATATTGATTGATATGAGTTGGGGCGGCTTGTCCGTGTGCTGCTGGATGTTTGCTGGGGAAAAGAGGCCGATGAATTAGTGATGAAAACAAAACCACAGGAACCACTACGATCAATAAGCTGTGTCTGAGGAAATGAGGAGGAGAAGAGAAGCAGGAAGATGGGGGGTGGGGTGAAGGGGGGGCAGAGGTAGCGTGAGGGGGCCAGTGAGGCTTGAAGCTTAAAAAATAAAAAAATGGAGAAGCAGAAACGGCAGAAATAGAGATGTCTATACATTGGTAATAAATCTACATCACACCTCTATTTTCTTTACACATTCCAGTCGTATGGTATTGTTCATCACACTGACACGTGTCTGTGATCCCGCACAGTTCCTGCCATGATCACCAGCCACCCCAACACCACCATGGCGAGGAAAGGCCAGACCAAGGAGCTGAACTGCACGGCCCGAGGTGAACAGCCCATCATCATTCGCTGGGAGAGAGGGGACACGGTCATCGACGCAGAGAGAAACCCCCGCTACTCCATCACCATCAACAAGAAAGGGGACGAAGTCATCTCCACCCTAAAGGTCAGGCCTGAACATGTAACTAAAAATGTGGGTGTTATAAATATTGTATTCAAAGATAAAACAAAACGACCTTCATTGATCTGTAGCCCAGGAGGTGACGTGAAGGACAAATCTTTGGAAAATGTTTTCAGCACTAGTAAATGTAAAAAAACAAATGGTCCATGTAAGAAATACATAATGTAAGTCGTTATATCATGCATTGTGGCTGAGACGTGAATTATAATTTATAAATGCACTGGAACATGTCAGGACACATCTATAGGTTTTATCATTTTATCTGTTCTTCATTTTATTTGATTAGTTTTTTATTTTACCAGTCTGACTTTTTATAGGATGATGTTCAACTTTAGGACTGTTATATTTACAAGAGTCAAATAAAAAACAAACAAAAAAATACTCTACAAAAAGTGATATACAGTATTATGCTACTGTATATAAAAGTAGTAGTACCAGTTGAGACTCTTTTCAAAACACAGTTCTGCGTATAGTGCCCCCGCAGGCCAATAAGAATGGCACTGAAAACAAACAGACATGGGAGATGAACTGCAGTCAGGTCAAAAAAAAATAACACAACGACTGCAGTTTAAAACAAAGGTCCTGAAATCTGTGACAAATCTGTGTAGTACTTTCATTAACCACTAATGAAGATATGAGAGTTTGATCGATAACAGACGATGTTCGAGACGTTCATCCACTGCCGTTTTGTGTTTTCATCGATAACAGACGATGTTCGAGACGTTGCCGTTGTGTGTTTTCCTCACGTTTTTGGTTTTTTTGTGTGTGTGTCGCTCACAGCTGAACCCAGCCGAGCGAGGAGATTCAGTTTTCTTCTCCTGCCACGCCATCAACTCTTACGGAGAAGGACGAGGGCTCATCCAGCTCACCGTGCAAGGTCAGTTAACCTGCTGTTGACCACACGCTTTAGGTGACCGAGGCTGTAAGATATAGATATAGATATAAGGTCAGTTAACCTGCTGTTGACCACATGCTTTAGGTGACCGAGGCTGTAAGAGAGCATATAGATATCTCACACACACACACATACACCCTGTCTTTTTGGTCTACATCTACACAGAGCCACCAGATCCTCCAGAGCTGGAGGTGAGGGAGGTGAAGGACAGGAGCATGAACCTGCGCTGGATCCAGAGGTTTGATGGAAACAGCATCATCACCAGCTATGACATAGAATACAAGAACAAGTCAGGTGGGTGTGGTGACCACCGATACACACGTCGAGCTTTCTGTATGATTAATATCTAAAAATTTTGTGTGTATTTTACAGATTCCTGGGACCACATGTACACCACCAGAAACATCTCACCCACCAACAACCAGGCCAACATCGTGGAGTTACACCCGGCCTGTGTCTACAGCATCCGCATGTACTCCTACAACAAGATCGGCCGCAGCCTCCCCAGCAAAGAGCTGACCATCAGCACCGAGGAAGCTCGTAAGTGATTGGCTGATTGTTTCTCAGCTCTGTCTTTTTTTGTTTTACATGTTGTAAAAGTTTTGTTTTGTTTGTTTTGCATCAACAGCCCCCGATGGGCCCCCCATAGAAGTGGTCCTTCAGCCGATGACATCACAGAGCATACGGGTGACGTGGAGGGTGAGGCTCACTGCTGGAATTTTTTTTTGTTCTGTGGTAAATTTTTCTGTTAAAGTAAAAAAAAAACATATTTGTACGATGGTCAGGTGTCAGTGGGTGAGTAACGTGGCACTTTGGTAAAGGTTTACACTCAGAAATACATGATTCCACTACATACGTTATCATGAGAAACACCTTTGAAGGTGAGACGATTTTATTGAAAATTTGTGCAATTGTGTTTTGATATTGAGTATTTCTCAACACTTCTCTCAGGCTCCAAAGAAGGAACTTCAGAACGGGGTGATCCGCGGCTATCAGATCGGCTACAGAGAGAACGGTCCAGGCAGCAACGGACAGTACAGCATAGTGGAGATGAAAGCAACGGGGGACAGTGAAGTGTACACCTTGGACAACCTGAAGAAGTTTGCCCAGTATGGAGTCGTGGTCCAGGCCTTCAACAGAGCTGGGACTGGACCGTCCAGCACTGAGATCAATGCTACGACTCTGGAAGACGGTAAGAGCTGGTCAGAGTAGACAAAAAAAAAAGTCAGAATCCCGGAGTAGTGTTTTATCAGAGGCAGCTTTGGGATGATCTTCAAGTGGTTTGGAGTTTGGAGAATGTAGAAAGAATTATTTACTGTTTTATTCAACAGAAACAGCACATTTGTGTATATTTACAGACATTTCCCCTCCAGAAAAAATAGTAGCAAGTTCACATCCTTCATTGTTAACTGTCATTAATTAACACTCTGTATTAGGCTGGTGGTGATGGAGGAGTGGAGGAGGCCCCTGAACGCTCCACCTCCACCTTCTTTTTCTCCTTCTTTGTTCTATCAATTCCTCCACTTGTTTAACTGGTCATTTTTTTTATAATTTCCATAATTACATTTAACATTGTAAAGAAAAAAGAAACTACTTTTCTAAGATTGGATCCTGACTGTCGCCATTTTACTCCACCTACTTCATCTGCATTTCTACCCTTTAAAGGTGTGGCTGTTTAAATATGCATGTTTTTTTTTTCCCAAGGGCTCTTTCCCCTTTTCTCCCGACCCCCTCCTCCTCCCTCCTCCCCCCTCGCACCTCCTCTGTTCTCCGTGCTCGAAAAGCCAGCGGTGAACCAGGAGACACTGAGGGCTAATTTGAGCCTGTTTGACTGATCTGTATCTGAACATGTTTCGCCTTTGCCGGGGAGTCATTCATTTTTAGCTGCACCAGCCTGGTCTCCTTAGTGACAGAAACAGCCTGTAGAATTGATATAAATCACCTGATAATGAAAAGCTCATCTGGAAAGTGTCGCTGCACTAACGCTCTCCTCCTCCTCCTCCTCCTCTTCCTGCTGCTGCTCTCTCCAGTGCCCAGCGAGCCTCCGCAGAACGTGCGTGCCATTTCCGTGACGTCGGACGAGGCGGTGATCACGTGGGCAGAGCCTCCACGGCTGACGCTGCACGGTGTGCTGAAAGGCTACCGGGTTGTGTTTTGGTCCCTCTTCCCTGACGGAGGTGGGTGCTGTGGGGGCCAGACCCAGTGGCCGATGCAGAGTAATTATCACCTATCTCATTCTAAAATTACCCATCCTTCCTCTGTTGTGGTGTAGAAACAGTCCTCCTGTTCCTGTCCCTTTGTTTGTCCAAACTTGCCCTAGTTTGTAAACGATTGGTGGTTAATGAGGTTTCTGTTCTGTGTTCTGTGAGTGTGTGTGTTTTTTCTTCTTCTCTGAATGTTCAAGTCTGTCTCACACACGTGCATATCCAACCCATTTGTATCTGGAACAATGTTTTGAGGGAAATGGCGTCGAGAAAATCACAATAATTCAACCTCTCCGCCCAGATATCCGTCCGATGATCACATTTCCCCGCAAAACAATTTTTCCAAAGTCAAGAGTTGTTCAACGTTGTTTTGCCTGCACACATCCTTCATCGGTGCTTCTAACCAGAACTGTCCGTTTGTACCTGTGTGCCAGAATGGGGAGAGATGCAGAATATCACCACCACACGGGAGCAGGTGGAGCTGCGGGGGCTGGAGAAGTTCACCAACTACAGCGTACAGGTGCTGGCCTACACCCAGGCTGGAGATGGAGTCCGCAGCAATGTCCTGTACATCCAAACCCGCGAGGATCGTGAGTACACACGGGGTTGACCGAGCCGAGCAGAGAGGCTGGTGAAAGGGAAGGGAATCACACTCGCAACTTTATTAGACACGGGGCTAGGGTCAGAATGTATGTGTATAAATCATTCAAGCCTGGATTTACCGTTGGCTTCATCTACAGTTTGGGCCACACTTTGGAGATGTGGTCCATTCTGTGATCTACAGACACACGCACACACTCCTACTAGGAACCTCCATTAGCACTGCTAATGACAATAAAGAGGCTTTTGGTCTACAGCTCTGACTGGAGAGACTGTGGAGGAGGAGGAGGAGGTGGTGCTTCCTGGGACCACATCACATCCAGGATTCAGATATGGGCCTTCGTCGGCGTCTTTGTCACCGGCTCTCTTGCTGTAGGCCTGTAGGATTATCTCCTCTTGGATTAGAGAGAATTAATTTTGTGCTTACACCATTGGAGGCGGGATTACAGCCAGATATATGTCTCTTGATAAAGGAAAGGAGGGCGGAGGTGGGGCCTGGAGGGCTGATGACGACGAGATACGGAGGTGAACACAAAGCCTCCTCCTGAATGACTAAATTAATAACGCATTAAGAGAGACGACGCAGAAATGTCACGGCTGTGGAAGTGTATCAGCCCTCGCTGTGACAAATCCTCCTCCTCCTCTGCCTGGCACAGCGTTGGTTATATATTCATGAGGGTGGGGCCGTTTATTCACCACCACTGGGCTGATCTTGGCCACATCACTGCTGAGGCTGCACAACAGACTGTCAGCATTTTTTTTTTTTTTTTTTTGGGGGGGGCACCAGATGGAACTTTTCCTCTACCACAGACTCTCCTGCCTAAACACAGAGTTTGAATTTTGACGACTTCACCTTATGATTCAGGTTCATTCAGCTTTTATCCGTCCCTTTGGGGCAATTCTGGGCAATTGTTAATATTCACTTATTTCACATGATACAGAAATGGAGATAAGTAACTGGGAGGGGTGTGTGTCGGCAAGAATCCGACGATACGATACGTGTCACAACACAAAGGCAGAACTTACGATATATTGTAACATCCCGTGCTACTGTAGGCACGACAGTATATTATAGTTGAGCTGCTTTATCTCGGCGTGTTGTGTTCAAGTGTACATCCACTGTAAACCCACTGGGTTTTTTTTCCCCTCCAACTTTATCTTGTAGTAAGAGTATTAAGTGGTGTTCAGTGTCAAGGCTGAAGTGGCAAACGGAGGATCAGTGTCTAATCTGACGGTTAAGAGACGGACTGTTGTGTCACTGAGTCAGAAAACGCTGCTGACCGGTGTCTAAATGAACATATGTCAATCCTCCGAGTCCTCCCGCAGAGGCTTAGCACAGGATAAGACCACCAATCTGAAAACAAGCCTACTCACTGTAACGGGCGTCCGACAGCCAGTCAGTCAGTCAGTCAGCGTGTCTGAATGTGTTTTTAAGAATCGAAGGTGAGTGGTTTAATGGGAGGAAAACACACGCGTGGGGCAGTGAGTGACATTTAAAAGCATCATTGATCAGACCTACAGTGGACGTAGTCAAATGGGAGTTGAAAAAAGAATCAAGTTTTAATAGATGCACTGAAATATAATAATAAATTATTAGTTTTGCAGGGCTTATTGCTAGGCTAGGAGACTACGAAAAAAAGAAAGAAAAAAAGATGTCCACAATAGAAAAACTTAAATAACTAAATCCTGCGTGACCCGGTGCCTTCACTGCTAATGTGTTTGTATCATTTGATTGTTTTCAGTTCCTGGTCCGCCGGCTGGAATAAAGGCAGTTCCTGCTTCTGCAAACAGTGTAATGGTGTCCTGGTTGACGCCGCACAAACCAAATGGTGTCATCCGCAAGTACACCATCTACTGTTCCAGCCCGGGCTCTGGACAACCAGTAAGTCTCTGTCTGTGTGTGTGGAAACGGTTAGAAGATAAGGAGTTAAAAAAAAAGAATCATCATTACCAGTAGAAGTCTCCAGGGGGCGGTTGATCTGCTGGGGCGTTGGGTTCTGTGACCCTCAAGGAGCCCAAGGAGCAGATAGTGGAGGGTGGAGACTCAACAAAGTTATGAATTTTTAAATAAAACATTTTTCAAATTTTAGGATTTTTGAGAAAATGTCTGATGGAAAAGATATAGCACCCCCCACAGGGCAGGAGACATACATACCCTTCCACATTCCTAAAAAAAAAAAAAAAAAAAAAATGCTGTTTGTTTGCAAACACAAATGTGAAGATTAGTGCATCATTTACCATGTATGTCAAACTCAGGGCCTGCGGGACATTTCCAGTCCATCATGTAATTTTTTTCTGGTCCGCTAGCGCTTATCATGAATATGGCTAACCTAAAGTAAATATATATTGTGTTCTAATGTCAACTGCATGGATTAAAAGTAGTCATAGATGACATCACAAGGTGAGGAAACTCAAAAGAAAATTTCTAAATCTAGGATCAATTAAAACAACAAATTTTAATCGCCTAATAAATTAAACTGTGTGTGAATGTGCGCGTGCATGTGTGTGTGTGTCAGTGTCTTTTCTGTGTTTGCACCATTGCTTTATTTCCTGCCCTCCCAGATGAACAGATGAGGTTGTCTTGGCAACGTGATGAGACGTAGATATGCAAATGAGGCAGAGAGCAAGCTCACACATGCACACTGCCGCATCAGAAACACACACACACACACTCTCACAGACACATCACATTTCAGGATCTTCTATTTATATTCTTATATGTGGCATTTCAGTTGTGCTTGGATTGTGTTAAAAACACACACGCAGTGTGTGGTGAAATCTGATATCAGGCTTGAATCTCACTTTCTTATTATTCACAAATACTCCTCCCTCTCTGTGCATGAGTGCCATGTAAATGAGCACAGGCAGGGAGGGAAGAGGGGAGGGAGGGAGGGAGGGAAGAGGGGAGGGAGGGAGGGAGGGAGGGGGGGAAGGAAGGAAGGAAGGGTGGAAGGGTGGAACGGTGGAAGGAAGGAAGGGTGGAAAGAGAGAGAGAGGGGTGAGGGGTAGAGGAGGGGGGGGGGTCGGGCAGGGAAAAGGGAGGAGCAGAGGAGGGTATCAGTCACATCGAGATGAGAGTGCTTTTGTCCGTCTTTTCATTATCTCCCTGTATCACTCCCTGGATCACCACAACACTGCCGCTATGCTGGAGGAATGTTTGACTGAACCCTTCACACACACACACACACACACACACACCCTCCTGCTGTCCCTCCATCCTCTCCTCCTCGTAGAGCCAGACAGAGGGAGAAGAGGGAAAAGAAAACAGTGAAGGAAGTGAAGATGGAGATGGAGAGATGAACAGATTAAAGAGATAACACACACACACACACAGAAACACTTTATCTGTGTGTGTGTGTTTGTGAACGTCATCTTAGTGTGAGGCATGTTGGGAAAATATTCTCTAGAAAACATTAGAATCTGGAGCATCATTTTAATCCAGTAGAAACACCATGTGATGAGGTCATCATTACAATAATATAACAATAATAATAATTATTATTATTATCATCAGTAAAAAGTACCAGAATTCTTCCAAAAAATGTTGCTACCTCTTGATGTTTTCTGCACTTATTTCCAATCACCTAAATTATATTTAATTTTTTCATTTTCCTTCTGTATTCTTTTTTGTTATTTTCCATATACTTGGCTGAGCTGCTGATTATTATTTTCCTCTTTTTTAACAACAGTACAGCCACACCCCGGTCTACAAGAAGTCATATTCCTCTGTGTTTAAAAAAAAAATGGAAATCCCTAAAATACATTGGCTTTAGTTCGAGTTGCAATTTAACAAAACACTTTGTTATACAATCAAAAAAAGATTACACTGGTTTATATATTAAAACCTGTGAAAAAACACATTTGAAAACCCCCATGTTTAAACCATCTCAATTGAATTTAAATGTATCTGCTCTTGTTCTAATGATCAGTCGTTATTTAACATAATTTAATGTCACATTTTTATTCTATTTTAGGCTTGAATACAGAAGTAAAGTTTTCAATTCTGTTAAAGTTAAAGACCAGAAACAAAATAATTAAAACCAAATATAATTAATGTGAATGCTAAGGCTGTTGTCTACTTAACATTAACATTGTTTTTTTGTTTGTTTTTTTTAAATCACCAAAGAACCTGTACAACAGAGCTTTGATTCACTGCCTTAAAGGCTACTCGAGTTTGAGTGTCACCTTATGACCTGACCCTGTCCAGTTGACCCTGACGGCGTCCAGGCACCGCCAGGGCAGAGCAGCTGAGGTTGTCAGTCCCTGGTACAACCACTTGTGAAAACGTTGAAGCGTTCAGACGGCTGTAACACTTCATGACTTCTCCTCAGAGGAGGCGGTGGTTTATCACTGTAAGACAAACAGATAAAAACACACACTCACAGACACGGCTTCACTGACGCACCTGAGCAGAGCAGAAATATCTGTCTGTTTTTATCCTGTACTCACTCCTCCGACTGTAACACGCCGTGACACCGCCGCGGCCCGGTGGAGCCCCCGCCGCCCGGACCTGTCCTGTCAATCACCACAGCTCACTAACATGTGTCGCCCTCTGTCCCAGGCGCCCAGCGAGTACGAGGCCAACCCGGAGATGCTCTTCTACCGCATCACGCACCTCACCCGTGGGAAACAGTACCACATCTGGGCTGCCGCCGTGACGACGGCCGGACGGGGCAACATCAGCTCAAAGGTCACCGTGGAGCCCGCTGGGAAAGGTGGGTGGAGCCTGTCGTGCTGCGGAAGGAGTAGATGTTTCTAAGCGTGCTGTGTTATCTTCTTCATCACTCCTCCTCCTCCTGCTCCTCCTTTCTCCGCCTGCTGTCTCGGTTATTGATTGACAGCCCTTGTATTGATTGAGTAGTGGTTATATGGCAAGAAACGCTGTTGTTAATTATGTGGTGATGAACAGAGCCTATCCAGTAAACTGACCCTTGGGGAGAGAAGTAGCAGGTGAGGATCAATAAAAGGGGGAGGATCTATGGAGAAAAGATTGACTGGGAGCAGGAGGTTAGAGGAGGCCTATTACTCCTCCAGCCCTGAGCCAGGTTTTTTTTTCATTCAGTCGGTCGGGGCATTGTGCTCGGTCAGCAAACGGAACGTAGACGCAGGTAGAAAACCTGAATTATGCAGGAAGAAGTCTGTTGTCACGTTGTTGTCTTTGTTTGGAGGCTTTTGAACGATACCTGCACAGACGACAGACAACTGAGGTCTTCATAGTGTCTACTGTGTGTTCTTCTACCAGATACATGTCGACTGTGTTATATTTCCAGTCTTCCAGCCAACACGTGCAGCTCTGATTGGCTCTCGTCCTCATCTGTTCCTCATCTTCACCTAGAAAACCAAATCAGTGCTGGTTGGACTTCCTCGTCTGACGTGTTTCCTTTTCGTCCTGATTATTTGTCTTAACTATTGCCTCCTACGATGTTGTCTTTGTCATTTAACTCTGTGAGTTTCCGTGTCTCATTTGGACCAGTGGACATTCCTGTAATCCTGTCCACTGCTCACTTCACTACCGTCCCATTACCTCCAGCCCCGTCTGAACCTTCTTCCCTGTTTCCAGTCCCTGCTAAGATCCTGTCCTTCAGCGGCACAGTGACGACGCCCTGGATGAAAGAAGTGCGACTGCCCTGCAGCTCAGTGGGCGAGCCCACCCCCACCATCAAATGGACCAAAGACAGGTCAGACTCCGTCACCTGTCCCACATCAGACATGTAGAGTCAGATTAGAACTGTGCTGACCTCCTGCCTGACCGTCTCTCCGACAGTGAGGACTCTGCCATCCCGGTGACGGCAGACAGTCAGCGGCAGATTTTATCCAACGGCACGCTGGTGCTCCGTTCGGTCAAAGCAGAGGATTCTGGGTACTACACCTGCACAGCCACCAACACACTAGGCTTTGACACCATCATAGTCAATCTGGTGGTTCAAGGTAAGGTCAAACCGAGGCTCCGTCTGAGACCTGTGAACTGGTTTATGTTGGTGGTTCACTGTCTCTGTGTGTGTGTGTGTTTGGACTCCAGTTCCTCCAGACCAGCCTCGTCTGACCGTCTCCACCACCTCCACCTCCTCCATCACCCTGGCCTGGATCCCTGGAGACAACGGAGGAAGTTCTATCAGAGGTTAGTTTCTGACCAGGACTTCAGGTCAACCCAGTCTGTTGGACAGGAGTTGAAACAATGCGCTCCATGTCTGTCTGAGCCTGACAACGACTAAACACAGCTGGTTGCTGCCCCCTGGTGTCCCTTAGACGTAAAAAACAAAACAAATGCAGAGTGACATGGTTTTGATGCGAGTCTGTTCTGTGTGACTGCAGGGTTTGTGCTGCAGTATTCCGTGGACAACACTGAGGAGTGGAGGGACGTCTTCATCAGCTCCACAGAACGTTCTTTTCGATTGGACAATCTGCGCTGCGGAACCTGGTACAAAGTGAAGTTGGCGGCTAAGAACAGCGTGGGCTCGGGACGCATCAGTGAGATCATCGAGGCCAAGACGCATGGGAGAGGTGGGTAAAGGTGACCCCGGGCAACTGAGAAAACATTTTATATTACTTTTCAGTTATACTTTTAATACATATTTAATGGTTGTTTAGATAATATATAAAAAATTAATTAAATCATTTTGGGGGAAATTCCTCTGCTGCTTATTCTTTAGTCCTCACCAAAACAACAACAGAACCAGAGTGAACTGAGTTCAGACCCAAATATTACATTCAGTATCACTGAACACCTCCATCCTCTCTGACCTTCGTCTCAACAGAACCCGTCTTCAACAAGGACCAGCCGTTGCTCACTCACATCAATTCCACTCACGCCGGCCTGAACCTGCAGGGCTGGACCAGCGGAGGCTGCCCCATCACTGACCTGATGCTGGACTTCAGGCCTAAAGGCACCTGGGCCTGGCAGACTCTGAAGGCCAACTCCACCACTCAGCTGTTCCTCAGCGAGCTGCGGGAGGCCACGTGGTACGAGCTGAAAATGAGAGCCTGTAACAGCGCGGGCTGTGGGAACCAGACCTCCCAGTTCGCCACCACAGACTACGACGGAAGTGAGCAAACGCCGGAACTTTTCTTTTTCTGTTATTGATAGGGATGTAACGATAGACTCAACTGTGGATCTGAACGCCGGAACTTTTCTTTTTCTGTTATCGATAGGGATGTAACGATAGAGTTGAGCTCAAAATAAATACAACGATCCTCTTTCTCTCGAAAGGTACGATACCACCAATCAAGTCGGCCCGGGGCGAAGGTGACGACGTGAAGAAACTCTTCTCCATCGGCTCTCCTGTCATCCTGGTCACGCTGGGTGTCGCGCTGCTCTTCATCATCCGCAAGAAACGCAAAGAGAAGAGACTGAAACGTCTGAGGGGTGAGTGGAAAAACAAGACGACGTTCACAGGTCCAGACTCTTGAGATACTTATCTTCACTGTTCCTTAATGTCTGAGTGACATATTGTCTCGTTTCCAGACGCCAAGAGCCTGGCGGAGATGCTCATCAGGTGAGAGTCAGACTTTATCATGTTTGTGGAACAGGCAGGTCTGACCTCCAACGGCAACTTGTATCATTTTGAATGGAAAACTTTTATTTGTTTGCAGCAAAAACAATCGAACTATAGACACCCCTGTGAAGGGCCCCCCCCAGGGGCCGAGGCTGCACATCGACATCCCACGTGTTCAGCTGCTCATTGAAGACAAGGAGGGAATCAAACAGATCGGTACGAGGCTGTAAATGGATGGAAAAAAAATAAAAATAACTCTAAGATGTCTTTTTGTTTACAATGCTTTCATTTCCTGGTCGTTCACCTGTCACAGGGGAGGACAAGGCAGCGGTGCCGGTGACGGACACCGAGTTCAGCCAATCAGTGAATCCACAGAACTTCTGCACAGGCGTGTCTCTGCATCATCAAGCGCTCATCCAGAACTCCGGGCCTTTGATTGACATGTCAGACATCCGCCCCGGCACCAGTGAGTCCTTTTATGTGACGTTTTGTCTCAGGATCAGCAGGTTCAAGCTCTGATCGTTGGCGTCGGCGTCCTGTTCTTGGCGTTCTAACCGTTGTCTGTCCGTTCTCAGATCCCGTGTCCAGGAAAAGCATCAAGTCGGTCCACAGCTCCAGAAACAGATACTCCAGCCAGTGGACGCTGAGCCGCCCCAGTCAGAGCCAGTCCACGGCCTCGGCACGAACTCTGACCTCAGACTGGAGGACCATGGGTTCACACGGCATCACAGCCACGGAGAGCGACAGCTACAGCGCCAGCCTCTCACCCGCCACGGGTGAGTCACACACACACATACACACACACACACACACGTCTGATAGATGCCGACAAACTATTTTCTTGGATCTTGGTTTTACTACGGGTGAAGGGAAATATTCATATAAAAAAAATCTATTTTGTCCACGATACCGTATCGATATTCTACCACACTTTATTGATTTTTTAAATTTTTTTATTAACAATTAACAGTCAAATATTCCTGGCGTTGGTCGGTTGAGATTTTATTTAGCTTTTACTTCTGCTCTAGTCATTCCAAACAACATGTATGTATTTTCATCTGTACAAACCACTGTATGAGTTGCTGCCACCTAGTGACTGGAGGCTTGTTATCATTCAAGCATTACAGCAGTGGTTCACTGATGACCAGCGTGACATATTTCATAAGTACTGAGTTTTAATAACCTGCTGTTTGGATGGAACAGCATTGTGTCTTGTTTAAAAAAAAATCAATATATTTTCATGCCTAAAGTATTGCAGTATATCGCAATATATTGTACTGTTGCTATGCTATGAAGTTGCCAGATTCTCACCAATACCATCCCCTATTGGTTACATTTGGTTTTTTAATTTCTGTTAATTCCCTTACAGTAAAAGGCAGTTGTTGTGAAATGACAAAAAAACATTTTGTAAAAAACTGTCTTTTCCAGATAAGGGTCGTAACAGCATGGTGTCCACGGAGAGCGCCTCCTCCACCTACGAGGAGCTGGCCAGGGCCTATGAACACGCCAAGCTGGAGGAGCACCTGCAGCACGCCAAGTTCACCATCACAGAGTGTTTCATCTCCGACAGCTCCTCTGACCAAATGACCACGGGAACCAACGACCCGGCGGACAGCATGACCTCCCTCAGTACGCCCTCCGAGCCGGGAATCTGCCGCTTCACGGCCTCGCCGCCCAAACCGCAAGACTACGACCGGGGTAAAAATGTGGCCGTGCCAATTCCACACCGCGCCAAAAGTAAGTAAAAAAAAAAAAAAAGATGGAGGAAACTGACACCAAAAGTGTGTATTCAGAGCGGAGGCGGAGCTAACGTACTGATTTGGAGTTTTATTTAATTAGTTTAACATAAAATATTCATTGGTTTTTTTTTTGTTATTGTTTTGAGTCGCTGTAGGAAATAATCCAGTGTAGATTTTTCTCAGTTTCAACTTTTTTTTTGCTGTAATAAATGTGCAAAAACTGGAGACACGGTGAGCAGCTGAAGATGATGATGATGTCAGGGCTCCATGACATCATCATCGTTCACAACTTTAACATTATTCATTTACACTGAAGCGTTCACTGCCTGGACTCGCCTGATCTGACGTCGTCTGGGAAATACTGGTGAGTGTGGTGTACGGTACACGCCGACGGGAATCCAATTTCTACACCACAATTTGTAAATGTGGATCCTTGCAGTGGAGATTTAAACTAAATTTTTTTTCTTCTTTTTTTTGAGGAGGTGGAGGGCGGGTGGGAGTATTGTATGGTTTCAAGCTTTTAGTTGTAATGTTCTATTGTGTTCTGGTCGGCTCCATCTGACTTTGTCACCTCATGACTGAAACAACACCCTCTTCCCTCTTTCCCAGAATCTTTCTTCCTTCATGGATTTTTAACCTTTTGTCCTATTTTTTTTCTCTCAGGTGAGTTCTGCAACCTCCCCCTCTACATGAAGACAGACCCGTTCTTCCGCAAACAGGGCGAGCTGCGCGACCCGTGTCCCGCCGTCCCACCGCGGGAGGCCTCCATCCGCAGCCTCACGCAGCGGGCGTACCACACCCAGGGTCGCCACAAAACTCTGGACTCCTCCAAGCAGCAGGCCCTGACGCTGGGCCACTCCGGGCCCAGCAGCTTGGGCTCTGTCAGCTCGGGGACCGCCACCTTGCCTCAGAGGACTCTGACCATGCCCAGCTCCAACGCTGCGGCCACGGCGTCCACTTCGAGCACGGGCAGCAACCCCCTCAACAGTAACAAGGGGGGCTCCAGAGACTCGCTGCTGGAGAGCAGCTCCTCTGCCCTGGGCAGACTACAGAAACAGAGCGTGGGGGCCTACTCCAAGTCATACACACTGGTGTAGCTCGTCCTCCTGCACAGACTCGCGCTGCCGTCCCACTCCTGGGCCAGGTCAACCCTGGCTGTCTACAGTCTGGGCCAGAAAGGGCATGCAACCCGTCTTTCTTTTACAGCCCACACTGGTGGTGCTCTGCCCAGAGTCCTGTCTAATCCTCCGTGGGATCAGTATTTCCCCCCCATCCCCACCGCCACCGCCCCCCCGACAGAGACCTAGCTAACCTTTCTTCTCATGTTCACCTAGGACTCTGCAGACAAACTACTAACTCCAACTAACAGTTCCAGCCGGCTGGTGTGCAGCTCCGCCCACGTCTCTCATGGCAATTGCACAGCTTAAAAAAAAAAAAAAAAAAATTGAAAAAAATTTGAAAAAAAAAAAAGTTGGAAAAAAAAAGAAAGGAAGAAAGAAACGATTCTCTGGTCATTTGGAAATCTTGACTCTGACAGAGGAGCTGGACGCTCAGTGTTTATGACGATGAAGACTACAATAGCCAGTATGAAGCTGTGTGTCCATCCCGTCACTCATACACACACACACACACACACACACATAGACATGCTGTACTCCATAGTTTTCAGTATTATTGTCCATTTTACAGGATGTCCACTTAAGTTCCCCCTCGTCCCCCCTCGCCGTGTGTCTCTTAAATCCCAAAAATCTATTGGCCGATTTGATTCCTAAAGAAATGATTCAGGTTCACTTCCGAGGATGAAGAGGAAAAAAGATTTCTCTCCCGCTCACGTGAGAGGAAACGCTCCAGATGTCAAAAGAAATGACGACGAAACCCAAATGTATGAAGATTCACGTTACGAATAGAGAATATTTGGTATTTACAAAGAATTTACATATATATTTGTATGTAGGTATATTATCGCCATATAAGTTAAATAATGACAAAGTATAAATGGTGCGCGCTGCGACGGCGTAGCGGTGCGCGCAGAAAAATTTAAATGTTAGTGTCAAATTTAAAGGAGACAATCGCTCAATCATGAAATTTAAAGAAGAGAAATTTAACAAATACAAATAAGGTTTGACTAAAGAAAAAGAAAGAAAAGAAAAGTTTAGTATATATACGGGACCCTGTGTATGTAGACGGACGAAGAGAGGAGTGTTGGAAAGCATGAAAGGCTTCTTTACCTTCAGGTCCTGGAGCAGGAACCGATGACTGGTCCGGTTGATTCTCAACCTCCCTGGTCTGCAGCACATACCTTACTGTGTATCTGTGTCCCATTTTTATAGGCCGCACCCCAAACCTGCAGCCCATCATTAACAAATCACAGCAAAAAAAAAAAAAGGTCTGCAGCAGCTGTGATGTCATTTCCATATACGACAAAGACCGTCTGACACCTGATTGGTCAGCCATGCATCCTACAGCCTTTGCAGCCTATTAAATGGGACACAGCCCGTGTGTGTGTACCAAGGGAACAATCATGGCAGAAAGCCGTCCAGTGAAGTCCAGTAAATATGTCCTGTACCTTAGACTACACGGGTACCACGTAGGCAGAGGGTTGAAAATGTCAAAAAAAAAAAAAAGTGGGGTAGTTGAGCAAACAACATCAGGCCGGTTCTACTCCGCAGCTGACTTTGTATCCACGTAAACGACGGAAGGCCGTTTAACCGGTTGGTATTTAAATGTATAAATATGTGTATTCAGTAACCAAATCGGTACCAGAGAGACTGACCAAATCCTAGAGGAAGTCCAACAGTTTTCAACACGCGGTGCTGCCGTGTGGCGGCCAAAGGAGTGAGACGACATGTGCTCTGCAACATGAAGCGGTGCTGCCGTGTGGCGGCCAAAGGACAGAGACGAGGTGTCACAAGCTCTATACGCTGAAAATGTTTTGACACGTGCTCTGCAACATGAACTTTCTCTCAGTCACTTCTACATCAACAGATTTAAAATTAATCCGATTCATTTGGATGTCGTCAAAATATGAGTTCATCTCGATTTAGTCCACAAAAAGTTAAATATTTTTATATTTACTAAACTCTACTTATATATTAACATCTTAACCGGATCAAAATTTGAAACTTTTTTTATTGGACGTTCTTTCCCTTCAACAGTTACAACAACTTCACACATACTATATAAAGATTAAAGTACTTTAACGTTAAAAGTTAAAGTCTAGGACGAAAATTCCAAGCAGATAAAAGTGCAGGAGCGCTGGTGAGACGTGTCTAAACACTGCCGCTTCAGGAACATGTTGCATTGCACTTGTACTGTTATTTTGAGCACTGCGAGAGTCAGAAAAACGCCAACAACTTAATTCTTCTCTGCTCACAGATCGGCAGCACTGCGTGTTGAGAACAGCTGGAGCGCTTCACTGAAGTTGTATGTAAGTAGTATTACTGGACTAGTAGGAATGGGATGGGAATAATTATACAGTGTTGAGGCAAACATGGCCGACGGAGAGTGAAATATTCTAAAGTGTTCTAACTTCACCGTCAGCTCGGAGAAGAAAAAGAAGGAAAACCCAGTTATGATGTGAATGGAAATAATATAACGAAAGATGTTCTACTGTATGTCAGGGAGTTCAGTTATTTAAAATAATAATAATTATAGTATAATGTTCACTCAATAATTATCTTTGTTGTTGCCCTGTCTGGAGTTCTTTATACAGTACGTCCCGTTTATTTACCACCTCAGCCCTTCATTTCTGTGCTAATATACAGGACACTCACACAGAGAAGCATCGCCGGGATAGAGTTTTTGTGCTTTTTATTTTTTGTTTTTGTTTTGTTTTTGTTTTTTTGTTTCCTTGTTCCTGGGTGGGTGAAGTCTTTGAGATTATTTTGGCTTTAACTTTGTTTGGGTTTTTTGTCCAATTTTTTACAGGTCAAACTACAGGAACATATTGCATTCACCTGAAAAAAAGGTGTCCTGAAATTCAGAAAATCTTTATTTACACCAGTCTTCCATAAAGTCACCGTTGACAGCCATGAAAAAAAAGTGACGTCGTGATCCAACCAGTGCCTGGACAAAGGCAGACAAACTGATAATAAAAACATTCTGAGCCGCAGTCATTCTTGAATTTCTCTACTTTACATGGAGTTCTTTATCCCCCAACAGCCCCCAACAGGAAAGGAAAAAAAAAAAAAAAAAATTTATGGCTTCAAGGTTGATTTAAAAAAAAAAAAAACATCTATGGCTTTAAGGTTGATTTAAAAAAAAAAAAAATTTATGGCTTCAAGGTTGATTTAAAAAAAACATATATAAATATTTATTTATAGAAATAATTGGGTCAACAAATCAGTTTTTGTTTAAGTGAATGCAACACGCTCCTATAACCAATCAGTACCAGGTCTGGGTCTCGTGACTCAAACCAGTTCAGCCAAGTGAAATCAGGGACTCGTAGCTCATTTAGCGACAAACTACAATCGTCTTGTCTAAGTACTGGACTGGAGCGGGTGTGTAAACCTGAAGCATTCCTTCTCCCGTCCATTTCCCCGGTTCAGATTATTGAAAGTAAAAAAAAAAAAAAAGTTCACCTCCTGAAACACAAGTCAGTTCATCTTCATCCCCTCTGTCTGTGCTGTTTATAGATTAAGTCTTGTACATAAAACACAGTTTTGTATGAAGAGCTATTTTCGTCAGAATAAATCAGGGGACACATCAGGGTTGAATGCCCCAATTTCAATTGAAATCAAAAATTTAAATATTTTACTTCTGAAATGGGCAAACAGGAAAAAAAAAACATTTCTTTCCCTTTATGTTTTTGATACTAATTTGTTGAATTTTTATTCTTTTTTTAAACAGTCTTTTGATGTTGTCATTTGTCCTATTAACTTTTTTATTATTATTTTGTATTTTGTTCATCCTCTTTCGAGAGAAAAAAATCATTGCATGCTTGCTAAAAGGAAATAAAATCAAGAAAAAATTTATGAAAATCAAAAGATGAAAAAAAAAATGTTGAGGGTATCCCAAACATTTGTTTGAGTTGCTTGTTATAGCAATTGCTTGTGTTCAAAGGTACATTTTCTATGAAAAAGAAAGCAAAAACTAAAAAGATCATTCTAACACCTTGTGCAATAAAGCTATCTTTCATATGCCATGGCTTTCTGTTGTTTTGAAGACCTCTGATTGACGTGACAGGTGACCACGTGGGGGCAGGAGTGAGCTGCCAACATCCACACAGTAGATTTTTTACTTGTCGGACAGCGATGACCTTCGTAAATACAAATTTCACCGTAAAAATGACAAACCAATAAAACATCTACGGCTTTACATCTTTTTGGCCACAAGATGGTGCTATAGGCACGAGAATCCTAAAATGCGCCTACCAAGGTGAACAGATACTGTCAGGGAAATGTTCTGCCAAACGAATGCAGTCGATCGTGACGGTTTTATGGTGAATTATTGATGATTTTTATCCTGGACCGGTGGCTCCATAGTACACTTACTGCAGGAGTACTCTGTGTACACTGTATTATGGGCTGTTCAATAGAAAGCTTTAATTTTATCCTTAATTATTTGCGAGGGGGGGAAACGTGAGGCAAATTTTCTTTCATATGTATCTCCTTTAAATAACACCAGTGGCCGAAAAAAATAGTATTTTGCTCTCTGGTAGAACTAGAAGTTTTTTCGTTAAGAGAACTGAGACAGGACAATGCGAACTGAAAAAAGATTTAATCCACGCGTATTATTAATTAACAGAAAACATGTTCTAAATCGCTTAGGAATAGCGGACATGGCAACCAAGGTTTATTACGCAGTATTAAAGTCCCATTGTTTAAAGGCAGCGCTTATGTCTATTCGCCACCAGAGTTCACTGTTGTAAATGAGAACGAAAAACCTCTAAATGTTTCCTACTCGTCCTTCACTTCCTCGGGTTAATAATGTATTAACGTTTTCGTGTTTTTTTTTTTAGGTTATGATCATTCTGAAGAACCCGACCCGGATGCTGTTTAGTGGCCTTGAAATGACGCAGTCACTGATTACTTAACGCGCGGTACCTGGTTGACTGCCGGCCCGCCAATGGAGACGTCTTATCAGCCAATCACATTCCAGCAACTCAGTGTCAAACGTATTCAGTGCTGTAGAAACGGTCGAGGTGAAATGAGTAACTTTTACGAGGACTTTGTAGCAAAAACAACCTACCAGTTTTGACAGACATCGACTGAAAAACATAAAATGTCACGTAGTAGATTTGTGGTAAAAAGAAAACAACAAACATTTGTTGATGCTAGCGGTTGAAGGGAGTGTAAAAGTTTCCTACAAGCTGCTGCTGTTAAATGACATCACGTCGACGTGGACCAAGGTTCCGGCTTCACGTTGAAGTCACAACACAAGGAACGGAATCGGTTCTGCTGGAAAAAAGAAATATCTTCAAGTTCAACGACGCTGAAACACACATCATAAGTGACCGGTGAGTGTCATTTCACTTCAGTATTTACTCTTCGTTGCTAGAAATTTCTAAACCGTTAGGGCGGGAAGAATCACAGCAAAATGGACGCCGGTTGTTTTTATTTTTTTTACAAGATTTAATTTATTAACTATTGTACAGTTCACATAAGGCCTTCATCTTCAAACACTATTCTCAGTCAGACAAATTCCAGGGTTTGCTCTTGGTGTACAGTACATACATGTTCATGTTTCAGCTTCTTTCTTTTTTCGTGTATCTCTTCAGCATTTATTTTATTCTTGGTTTAATTTTATTTTTTTTAAACAGGAAATAGCTTCCTTCCATACTTCCTTTTTTTCCTTCCTTCCTTTGTGTATTTTTTTTTAAATCATGCACTAAACTTAAGTGGCCTTGAACCATTCACAAAAAAATTGTAAAAAATGGACTTTCCATTGTTGAAATACACACTAGAAATGTTTTCTACCATTGACTAAAGGGCGGCGTTCTCCGACAAACAAATAAACAACCATGACCGAGTGGCACGCACTCGCTTTTTGTTCCTCAAACGGCACATTTGCCAGGTCTGTAACAGAAGTCAAGTGATGCAGGAAGATAACATTCTCCCAGGAGTCTCGTTGAAGCAGGACGGCTGATTGGTCGCCTGTGTGACGGCACTTATATTACAGATCTGATCAACTACAGAAGGGCCAAGTCTAGAAAACACTTGAGCCGACTTAGGCTTTGGCCTCGTTGTGGGTGGGAATTTTTTCAAAGATGATATTTTTTTCCCTCTTTGTCCAGATCAAAACACCCAAAACCTTCTGGTGCTGTTGGAAGTGTGTCAAGTCAACAGGAGGCGATATAACCCTGTCAGTAAAGCTTTGTTGGTCAGCCATGCATTGAATGGTACAGATGGTGAATATATATATATATTTTGGAAATACAAAATTATCTAGGGCTGTGGATGGGAATAGACATGTCCTCACTCTGGACATTACACAGTCCAGGTTAAGGTCACGTGGTGTGGCCACCAGTGAAACAGTGAACAGGTGAAAAAGAAAAGGCATGCAACACTGGCAGTCACCACTATGTGGCGCCGCGGTGGCACTGGAAGTGTTGGTAATAGAGGACAAGGCATAACATGGAAATGATAAAGAACTGATCTTGGATCAGTCTATTTTGTTGTTTCTGTACTGAGGGTTTTTGTTTTTTTTTTTTTGCACATTCAGATTTAAGTATCAGGATTTTCACTTTCATTTTTTTTTTTTTTTTTTTTGCACACTCAGATTTAAGTATCAGGATTTCCACTTTCCTGACCTTAGTCTGTGTCAGCTGGTTTTTAAACCAAAAACCTGTACATTTCTGGACCTGTTGTGTGCTAATGTCAAACTGAGAGAAACTGCTGAAAATGTGTTATTGTCAGCCCCTCAAAAAAGTCAAACACTCAAGTGTGTAATTCCCGCCTCCTCGTTGATAAGGCAGGACTTCCAACAGCAGCGTGATTCTGAGACGGAGCAGAAATGACTCGAGTAGAAAAGTCCAATCACCTTCTGCAGCCCAGACCCATTCCAGAACCGTGTTCTACGCAGTACTGTTTAGACTTCATTAAACAAAGCTGCCACCGAACATGTTGACGTGTTAACCATGAAACCAGAGGAAGGTGTTTGTCAGCACAGAACCAGAACTCCAGAGCAGGTCAGCGACCTCGGCTGCTTCCTGAACGTGTCCTGTTCACAGCTATGTAACTTCTACGTGTCGTCGTTTTGTAAAGCAGGACTAGCAGTAACAGTGCACTGAGAAGACTAAACCTTCAGCATTAAAGGTCCTTAATATTAGATGAATACAAAGAGCTTGGTTAGATAGACAGCCATAGCAACACACCCAGCAACCTATCGTGTTTCAAGCATTTGGTTCCCATGGACACCAGATGGCACTGTGGAGTTGTGTCATGGTATAACTAGGTTACACATTCAAATAAAAAGTCTAAAGTTTTCGTAGTTACTCGACTGACCTCTGATATGACAACGATTGAACTCCCTCAAATAACCACTGGGATCAGCTAACAGCTAAAGAACGGACAAACTAAAACGGAAAATTCACGTGGCTGGACGAATGAGGAACATAAGCTGATCCAGGTTCCACATCAACCTCGGATGGGACGCCTGAATCCACTCAGGGAACCTAGGTTTTTACAAATGGATCTTGTTTCACAAGCCTGCGCTGATGCCGCGGTCCACGTAACAAACGATATCCACAAATTATCCATGTGGCATTTCTTCAAATGTAACACTACATTATCAAAAAGTGCTTCAGATACATTTCTGGAGTTAAAAAAATGTATGTAAACAAAGTTTGATCTTCCAGAGCTCTGGGGCTGTCAGCTTCAAAACATTCATGTGAGCAGGGCCACAAAGGGTTAAATGGGTTGAGGATGAAACTGTGTTCTAATACATTTTGGACTGCCCAGAGTAGTTCATGCACAGTCCAGCAGAGGGCGTTGGTGCACAGTGCAAACTGTGATTTAATTTGCTGATGCTACAATTATTTTGTGTTAGCCAGCAAGCTAAACAGGCTAGGCTGCTAGCTTTTAGCACAGACATCTTACACTTATTCTGGGTGGAAAATTCAACATTTAAGTTTTGTTTTTTTTAAAGATGCTCTCCTTCAAATTAAGAGTTTAACAGAACGTGAACTCCACACTGTTGAGCAAACTCCAAAAGCTAACTACCACAAGCTAACCTGTTGTTAGCCACGGATGGGCGTGGCAAAATCTCTGCATATTTTTAAGGTGTGTTTTTTTTTTTTAATGTTAAGCCCATTTTTGTGTTTTTTTTTTTTAACTGACAGCCCGACAGAGCTCTGTGGAGGCAAAGGTATGGCTGTTTGAGCTGAGAAATTCAAAAACACTCAAGAAAACAGGATATCAACCCAAAAAACAACCGTCATGAGGGAGAAAAAAACAACAGTGATCATTAAAGTGCATCCCTGGGTGTGTACCTACCCCCGTCCCTTCCCTTCCCTCCCCATGTTGACCCATTGAGGTGAGTCAACGAGAGCAACCCCAAAGGCAGCCAGAGAACCTCTGCTACATGGAGCACACTGCTGCTCAAAGGACCACACTGAGGAACAGTCCAGAAATCCAGTGGCAGTACTTTCATGGAAAAAAAGGAGAGAGAAGAAAAAAAATACTAAAACAGTTATAATACACAGATAAAAACACGGTGATCGGAAATCATCCTTCCCACTTGGCATTGAGGTTTCCATTTCTCGGTATCGTCAAATAAACGGTGACTGTTGACAGAAGAGAGGCATGCTGGGACCATGACCTCTGTCCTCTACCCACTGTCCTTGTTTGCTAATGAAATGGCAGGTTAGAGACGCTCCTCGCTCACCCCTTCACTCCACTCTTCATAACCAGAGTTTTCCATGATCAAAAATGTAGCGTGTTGTTCTCATGTTCCTTTTTTTGTTTTGTTTTTTTTTTCTTCTCCTAGTGGGACGTGGTGAGAAGGTCCAGCATCATCATGGGCACACGTGGTTTGGTATCGTCTCTCACAGTGTCTCTTGTTCGGCAGGTGAGTGGTGGGAGTGGGGGTGCTGGTGGAGGGGAGGGAGCAGTGACTGCATCGGAGACTGGGGGGTGGTGGGCGGAGACTGCTGCAGCGGGCTGAAGTGTGTGGAGGTGTGCGGCGGTGAGGAGCGGTAACAAGAGTAGGCGGAGCTTCCACCCAGGGTGGTGGTGGGGGAGGCTGGGAGCCCCCCCAGGCCTGTGGGGGAGTCCAGGAGGGGTTGGTTGTAAAAAAAGAAGGAACACTGGTGGATGAAGGTGTCAATGATTGTCTGATAGGTTCTGGCGGCAGTCAGCGCGTCCATGGTGGTGAAGTCGGGCCTCATGAGTGTGGGCCAGAAGCAGATGGACAAATTATCACTGGTCATCAAGTTCACCCGATTCAGCTGGCTCACTCTGGAAACACACAAACACACACACTTATGTCAGATTTCTCTATCCTTATTAAACTTAAGCGCCCCCTACAGTACAACTGTATACATGTCTATATTTTAAACTTTTTCATCATGGTTAGACCCCCTCTCCCTACTCCCTCTCAATCCAATTATTTACTGTTTATTTTCTGACTAATGACATCAATGTTCTCTCCAGCAGATGGCGCCACATACACCAGTGGGTTGCAACCATTTCTGAACCACAGCTTGACACAACCCTAATATACACGCAGGAACTGAAGAAAGACGCAATCAAGATCTTCTTAAACAGGTCTGATTCTCTTTTCTTTCTTTCTTTTTTTTTTTTTTTTGCCACTCTACTGCCACCTGCTGAAAGAGTATTGTGCCTGTCGCTGTCACATTGACATTATTTGCAGTAAATAACTAGTATTTTTAGACCAATTTAGTGTAATTAATAAATAAATAGTGTATTTAATTAATAAAATTAATTAAACTTTGTTATTAAAACTGGTAAAATTAGTAAAAGACAAAAAATGACTGCCATTTTCCAGCCACTGTTTCTTTTTGTTTGGATGAAGATGATAAGAAGAGATAAAGTTGTGGTCTTCAGAACCAACGAAGCGAAATTAATTAACATTATCACGACAGTTTTAATTAACCCGACTTCTCTGATCACTCGACTGAAACTGTGACTTTAACTCCACAACAGCTACAGGGAACATTTGGCCTAAATTATTCAGATGTACAATAACAGGGGCGGGGCCTGTTTGGAGTCACGTGGTATCCTTACGGACCCGACACAACAGAATCCACTGTTTCTGGGAAAAACCAAGTCCCTCATTTTATATGGTTCAGGACGGCAGATGGGAACGAACCACAGAAGAAGGAGAAAATCCATGGAGTTGATTTAAAGAGCAGACAGGGAACTCACTTGTTTAAGTGGCTCACAACATATTTGAAGACGTCATAATTCTCTCTGGGGAACTTCCTCAGGACATCCTTCATAGTGTACAGCCTCTGTTCTCTGTCATTTATTCCTGCACACACACACAGAAAAAATGCCATTAAATCTGAAGCCTTGTTTCACACAGTCATTTGAAACTAAAATGTCTGTCTATACGACTGAAGAGGGCAAATGGGTTCGGTGAAAATCCTTTCTTCTCTGGTCGGTCCTAAAAAACAATAAGCTCTGTTCTGGTCAGGACCCTCCCAGCACAGCGGTGTTTGCTTACTGAAAGCATCCAGTAGGTCCACCTGCAGAGCACAAGGCACCAGGGGCTCAGGCAGCTCCGAGAAGAAGCTCTTGAGGGCTCCAGCCACAGTGTTTATGGAGAAGTCTTTCTCCACCAGGTCTATGCCGTGGTCTGCAAACAGAGAGAGAGAACGAAGCCGGGGATACAAAAGGATTACTTCCCACTTTCCTTTGCTAACGGCTTCTGTCTGGATGAGGCGGCGACATAATCACATGTCAAACATCTGTCTGCAGCAGACCTGATGGCTCACTCACCCTGTTCAAACTGCTTCTGCATGCTCTCCATCTCCGACTTGTTGCCGCTTACGCGATACAAGCCCTCTGTGTTCAAGCCTGAGGAGGAAACAGAGCAGCGGGTGAAACGAGGGGAGACGTGGGGAGGCGCACAGCGGGAGACCAGCAAAGTAGCAACACTTCATTAGCCAGTCTGCAAACATAACAGTACAGATGCTTCTGGAGGAATGAAGCTGCCTCCACACACACAGACGGTTTATTTACCGGGCAGCTGTGGATTAATCATGATTAATTGTGATCATAATTAATCACAATTTATTAATTACACATTGACTTTTTTAATTTGGATTTTCCTGTTACATATTATTCCTGTACATTACTGTCGTGGATTATTTTTTAAATTTTCCTGTTACATATTATTCCTGTATATTACTGTAGTGGATTTTTTTTATATATAATTTTACGTGCTCTATTTCAATTTTTAATTTTTATTTTAATCATCCGCAGTACAGCGATCGGCCTGCAGGTGACCGTGCAGAGGCACATTTGGGTTTTGACTGCCCTGTTCTCTGCCCTGCAACACAGACATGAGATAAATCCTCTAAGAATTGACGTTGCACAAGCTGTTTATGGATCTTGACTCTGACTGTCTGGGCTATTGACTGATGAGCCATAAATCTGTCGATACAGAAGCCAGATTGATGTTTATTTTTGGACACTGACGCCCGTTCCACGGTGCACACATCAATTGCCTGGTTGTCTCGGCAGCCGTTCAGCAGCTTGGACACTAAGGTCCGTCTGAGTAAACAAATACAGCAACAAAATGTCAAGTTCTACAGAACCACAAAGGCTGTCTGTGACTTAATCACTCAACTTCAGTGGAAAACACACCAGGACCGAGGAAAAGGCACATTTATCAATCTAGGTCTACTGTTTTTGTTGTGTATTTATTTACCTTAACTGTCCTTTAGCCACAGTGAATATAATTTTGACATTACACCTCGTTCTTCGTCAATGGACTGTGAATTAGTCTCTAGTTAACTCAGCCCGAAAAAAAATTGAATAGCTGATAATACCTGTTGTCTCGATGAAGCGAACGCACTTCTCAATGAAGATTGGAATAGGCCTGTCTGGAGACACCACGTTTACCAGGGGAACTCCAAAGTAACTGCTCTCTATTGGTTTGGGAATAGCTGGACGGGCCTTTGGTCTGGTTTTCTATTAGGGAAAAAAAACCAATACAGTACATATTCAGTTAAAAAAAACTCAAAATATGAAAAGGAGTTTTGACTCCTTCTGATTTTATGTAAGGTGTATGAAACCTCAAAATATGAAAAGGAGATTTGACTCCTGATTTTATGTAAGGTGTATGAAACCCACCTTGGCTGTACGCCGCAGGCTCTTCAGGATGTTCCTCTTTTTCGGATCCTCGATCTCCTCATTAACAAGACTTTCACCCTTCAGGGTCCCATAGTCGTCTTCCTTGGACTTGGGCAGAGCTCCCATCTCATCGTCGCTGCCTATGAAGCTCGAGCGGAAGCTGCTGAACTTTCCCAGCCTCTTGGATCTGTCCCGGTACAGACGAGGCTTCACCCCCACTGCCGAGAACTTTCTCCTGCGCTCCAGAGAGCTGCTGTCCGCTTCACTGTCAGAGCCGTTTCCGTTCGAGTGCATCCTGTTGGAGTTGCGTATGGTGATGATTTTGCCTTGTGTGCTGTCATGTGGCACAGAGTAGATGATCTCTTCATTACTAGGGCGTGGTTTTGAAACGGCGTCCATAGGTTCAGCGTAGTCTGAGGGATCGTAGCCCACGTCTCCACCAGGAACCCAGGTGACGGCAGAGGGCAGGGAGCGACGATGACCCAGCGTGTCGATATAAGGGTTTCGGCTGATCTTGCGGAAGTCAAAGGTGACACCTGGTTTTACCCTCACCTGGGGTGGAACTTTGTTGTTAAGTTTGTTTTCAAAGTCTCTCATATCAGAGATGACAGACATTTCACTGGAGTCTAAATCAGCCAGGTGGAAGCCCCCGCCGTGAGAGGTAAGTGTGCCGTCATAGTATGGAGGAGATGGTTCCACGTCGTCCTCTGAATCTAGAAACATGGTGACTGGACTGGGGGAACTGCAGCGTGGAGAGTAGACATTCTCATTGGTGCAGGCTTCGGCTACGTTGTCATACATGTGCGTGGCCTCCACGATGTTCCGTTTCTCCACCACTTCCATCAGAAAAGAATGGAACATTTCTATCCTGTGCAGGCCTCCGACCACGCCCCCTGATCCACACACCACAGTGTTAAAACGACCTTCAATCTCATGGGCTAACTCCTCCCCCTGGATCAGCTGTTCACAGGCGTAGTCGCTATCGGTGAGCTCCGCCTGGCTGTCTCCCACTGCGAGCAGTTGGACTGGGATGATGTCTTGAACTTCACATAAGAACGCACACAGAGTCTCCAGGGAGGCTTTTCGGGAGACAGAGTACACAGCGATGTAGCCGTGGACCAACCTACTCTTTCGCAGCGTGAAGGAAGCATGGTAGGAGAGCAGAGACAACTCTATGGCTATCTTGTGTCCAGCAACCGTTTGTTCCAGCAGCACAGAGGTGCCACTGTTAGACATGGGCCTGCAGTGCTGATGCATCAGGAAAGGGGCCAGAAGCTGCTCGATATCATAGGAGTCTCCGCACATCAGACAGACAACCACACGGAGGTCTGCCTCTGGAGCCGTCTGGTGAGGAGAGTCTCGCAGACTTTGAGGTTCAGGGAGTAGCGGTGGGGAGCTGCTACTGAAAGAAGTGCTCCTCCTAATATCCAGAAGACTCCTCAACACCTGGTTGATTTGACTCTCATTGATATTATGACCGTAGCCCACCCCGGGGGAGGCAGGGTCTAAAAAGCTACACTGCAGTCTCCTCGCAACCTGCTGTCCTTGTGTTATTAGTTTCAGGGCCGTTTCTCCACCTATATCAACGTACGAGCCTACGCCTCTCTTGGTGACTAACAGCAGCGAGGTGGGCAGCTGGGCCAGCTGGCTGTCCCTTCGCCCCAAAGTCGATTCTCTCAGTCGCTCCAAGCTTTCAACCACGTAAGAGAGAGAGTCCTTGGAGTTGTACAGACACAGACACCCATGTGGTGTGAAGGTGGGCGTGTGGAAGGAGTTGACGGGGAGACGTACATTTCCTTCGATGGGCCGCAGCGTCAGCTCATACATCTTCCCATCTAGCACATACCAGTCGTCATTGGTGCACAGTGCTCTAATCTCATTGGCAAATTCTCGGGCCAGTCCATCTTTCCCCAGTATGACCAGGTTGATTCTGTCAGCTTTAGTGTCTCCAAAATGAGCTTTCACATCAAAGAAGGGATAACAGGAAGGAAACCGTGAAGCTAAGAGCTGTTCGATCTTAGAGTCCACACAGTGAGGACTGCTGGGGCAGGTTTCTTTAGTAGGGTGATAGACAAAGTGGATGTGCTTCAGTACCAGAGCGTCTCTTTCAGCTGGAAGCTTCTGTAGTGCCTTGAACCTCTGCTCCTCTCCCAAAACCTCTTGAATCGCTCCCATCTTCTCTTTGCTCGGCTTGGCATCCACCTCTAGTTCATAGAACAGTTCAGAGTACTCGAGAAGCAGCTCCTGGAAGTCCTCTTTAGCACGGTCAATGATCTCCTTCTGGTGGCGGTTGTACAGTTCCAAGTACTCCGGCTCCTCAAGCCACTGGTAGAATTCTTCATTCATGATAAAGCTGCGTGCTTCTTCCCATGGTTTACCAGGTGTGACAAAGGGCGAGGAGGCCAACTTGTGTTTAAACTCCAGTCTCATCTCTGCCCGTCTGCACTCGTTGCGCAGATGTTCCAGGTGGGCATTAAATATGTCTTCTGCGTCATCGGTCTCCAGGAGGTCTGAGGGGATTCGCTCATCCTCCATGTTGTCGATGTGTGACGTATCCTCCCACGGTGAGTCCTCCAAAACGACAAACCAATGAGCGAAGTGCTGCTTTGACTCCAAAACCTTTTGAACCCCAGACCAACTCAATTGATCTATCTCATCCAAGTCAGGCACTAAAGAACTAAGTGCTAAGGGAAGAGTGCTAAGGTATATTCTGCGACGCCTCTCGATATGTTCCTGTTTCAGACGGTAGACGTGCTGTTGGAAAAGCTTCTTGCACTTGGCTGTTCCTTCTAAAAAGACGTACTCTTTGTACTCTGGAGAGGTGTTCATGCGGCGACTTGTGTTTAACCAGGTTTCATTGTGATTCTTGACTATACGGTTGATTAGCCATTCATATCGATCCTTGGCTGAAGCTATCTGCTGACTCTGGAGTTTGAGAGCTTCGAAATAGGGAATAATCTTGGGCTTGCCCCTGCTCTTGTCAATAAGCTGAGCCAAAGTGAGGAAGGCCAGGTCCACATTAATATTTGAGCGTGCGGATGTCTCCACCACAGGTAGGCTCTTTTTTGTGATGCCAAAGGTGTGAGCATCCTTGATGTAGCGTTCGACTCCTTCGTCACACTTGGTGAGGACGAGTACAGTGGGCTTCTTGGTCTTACTGAGCTGACTGTACAGATTTGAGACAAATTTCAGCTGGTCATCAAAATTGCGGTTCATGCCCCGGCTGACGTCCACACAAAGCAGGAATCCATCCACCTGCAGCTTTCCCTCGGGCATTTGTTTTTGCTCAAAGTCTTGCTCCAGACCCAGCTGATCTGTGCAGAAGTACATCAGCTTCTCTGCTGAAGCCAGCTTGGTCGCAGCAGCACGTTTGATATAGGGCTGCATTGCAGTGCTACGGTGGGGCTGAAATGTCTGATCATCAATGAACTCTGTTTGCTCCACAACGTGCATCCTGCACTCTGGGCCTTCCTCCAGGACCCTCCCCACCTCCCCCCAAAACAAAAAGTGATCATTGTTGACCACTCTACCCCCAAAGTCACTGGTGCTCAACACTGACGTGTGGTCCAAGTAGAAGTCATCAGCACTGGGCCGCACAAAGCGATTACACAGACAGGATTTGCCAACCCCACATTGTCCCTTCTCTTTCTCCGTTCCTGACAAACCCACAACAACGAGGTTGTAAATGGGGGATCGGGCATCTTGTTTTTTCGCCATCATTGTCAGCTGACGCTCATCCTGCCATAGACAGGCACTGTATACAAGAGTTCACTTGAAATCTGTCCATATATGTTGCGGCTTATCCACAGGGCTGGAGGTCAGAGTTCAGTTTTATTAAATATCAGTGCAGCGATAGGAGCAGACGATTCCTTATTCCTTTTGTGAAACAAATCCTGACAAAAGAGGAAGACAAACAAGACATTAAATGGATTGTGAAATTTAGGATGCTAATTAAACCTCGAGGACAATAAATTTAAATATAAACATTAGAATATTAATTAAAATAAAAAAGCCTGACACCACATTTAAATATAAACATTAGAATATTAACTAGGATGTTAGTTTGAATCTTTGTTAAAATAAAAAAGCCTGACACCCCACTGTCACTGCTGAATTTATATAAAACAAGTTGTGAAGTGTTTTTCTCGTCTTATTCAACAACAGCCAAAAGCACAATGAACTTAGTGGAACAGAAGACGTACCGGCATCCAGTCAGAGTATCTCCTGACAGGGGCCATAGATTTCTGTGCCAAGAATAATGGCTAAAATACAGTAAACTCAAATGAGGAAGTGGATTTTTGCAAGTTTCATTATCTTGTCAGGCAGATTTATTGTCCAGTCGCTGGCTGCAGCTATTATTCACTTTGCAGAATTTATCCGCTCAGTATTTCATCTGACCATTTTGTGTAAAAATGATGAACACATTTGCCCCGCAACATTTTCATATTACTTTCAATCTGGAAAAAGGCTGTTTAATTTAATATGCCGGGAAAAAAGGTCAGCAAATATTTCTTTACGAGCTCTGCTTCGTTTTGCTGCGAGATTTCTTCACCCTGACAATAAATAACGGGGCCAAATAATCAGGGATCATTTCAGGATACATTTGAAATATAACATTAATCTGAGGAAACAACACATTGGGTGTAGTGCTCATTAAGGGACACGGTCTGCTGATTAGTGGTTTGAGTCACAGGCATAGGAACATTTTCCTGATTAAAAATGACAAGTTTTTAACTTTGAATAACAACCAGCAGCAGCAGCAGCTCGAGCAACAAAAACAGAGAAAGACTGGCATAAAAACGCCCTGGGTAACAATGTGCTTGCTCATCCTACCAGGACGTACTGTGAATATTTTATACACTGGTATAATGCCTTCATTATAATGGTACTGCTGCAGTACTTGTACACTTAAGTCCACTCATATATTACTCCACAACGTAACCATCCAGAATGATGTGTAACATGAACCTCTGCTGCCAAAAGAAAAAAGAAAAAAAAAAGGCTAGTTATTCTTCCACTGTGAAAATGTTCACATGATGACGTGAAATCATCACTAATGAGGTGACGGCAAGTGTCACATGTTCTAAAACGGCGCTGCTAACAAAGCAGCCCTAATGTTTGCACTGTGACATGGACCATCCTGTTAGCTGTAATAACCATGGTTATAAACACTGTTAAGACTACTGTAATAATGTGCCGTAGAATGGCTTATGGACGTATTGACACCTGACTTCAGGTTAACAGTGTGCTTAAATTACTTTAGCTTTTAGCTTGTCACTATGTCAGTTAAATGTCCAAAAATAAAGTCCAAACGTTGTACAAGTCAGAATGAAGTAGACAATGAAAATAATAGCTCCGTGTTGAATTTTCCTCGAGTCGTCTGGTTTCACTTCTTCATGTCGGTCGGTTTACAACCAAACACCAGACTGCCTATAGGGGTCTCGATTCTCCACAACGTAACAATCTGTTGCGTCCCCCGGTAGACTATTTAACTTCAGGACCACTCCCACTTTTTCTCGCCTCATTCACAGCTCGATGATAACAATGAGTGGCGTCCCGAGTTGTGAACACGAGTCTTGGCTAAAAATACTCGTGATTCCTTGTGTGTTAACAGGCAGGAATTGAGAGTGTATCATATTGTCTGATAAAAAAAAATGTAGTACATATGTGAAAATAAAAAATGTAAAGTGATGAATAGCTATTTTGTATTCCAGATGTGCTGTACAGGTGAATGATGGTCAATTAGAGTATTTTTTTAATGATCACTAGTACAGTTTAACCCTTAAGTGTAGCAGTATTTTAGTCCAAAGTCATAGATGCTTTACATATGTTCAAACAGGCAGCTGGTGCGTTCATGATCCACGTGGTATTTAGGAACATTTCCATCACATTGACCCTGATAGTTTCTAGAACTAAGAAAGTCTTAGCATATGGTACCTTTAAGCTAAAGGTCAAATGGAGTCAGTTTTGGAGAATCACGACTAGTCTTTCAAATGAAATGGCTATTTTCATTTTTAGTACTGACTCAAAATGCAGTCAACGTCACGACTAGTCAACCACGATGGGCGTTTAGGATTTATAGCCTGTTTGCTCAGGTTATAATGTTGCAGTAAATGGTCTCTAGTGAAGCCCGTGTGGTGCACTGAGAGGGGCTTGACCACAGCAGGCCTCTGCTGCTGCTGCTCTGTCTACAGACAGCATGAAACCAGAGCCCACTTTAGGGGCTGGACCAGCTTGGTGGAATTTATTTACCCAGGTGTCTGTGGGTGCAGGACTGGAGATATTCTCAGAGAAACCGCCCATAAACAGTACGTGATAGCAGGGACTCGTACACACAACCATACGTACCATACGATGGCATTAGAGCCTTTCTGCTGCTGCATCTGTCAGGCCACGGCGCTGCCGCAGCCCCTTCGACTCTTGATGCTCTGCTGCTGCTACACACACACACACACGTACATACACACAAAACCGCACAACACACACACACACGTTGTGGCTGTGTTCCTAGAATTCACAGACGATAGAAATAATACTGCAACTCCTCCGTGAGGTGATGAGATTTAAATACTGATTCTCCAAGTCCGGCTTCTCTTTGTATGTAGCCTCGCTGTCACCATGTTGCATTTAAAGACGGTTTGGAAAAGAGGCGAAGGCTGGTGGTGAATAATCAAACCCCCGAGGTTCCCTGCAGTTTTAACAATGATCCCTGGCCGTGTGGAAGAAAATCCGCTCATTCCTCTTCGTCCCTCGGCTTCACCACGTTGCTTTATTCGGTCATTATTATGTCCATTGTTGTGCCGGGGTAAAGCAGGGCCGGCCGCACCGCACACGGGGAGTCGTTCACGATCGTCGGGGCCGCTTCGTTTCTGTTTCGCTGCGACACCGATCCTTCACGTTCTACCGGGTTTCAGGAGCAGAGTGCGGGAGTGAAAGTGCTCGTTTCTGCCAGCTTTTCCTATAATGGCGGCGGCCCTCCTCCTCCACCACCTCCTCCTGCTGCTGCTGTTGCTGCTGCTGCTGCTGCTCCTGCTGACTGCTGCTGCTGTTGGCCGAGCCAGGCAGCGCTCCTCGTCTTTTCTTTGGTAAAGGGGGGAGAGACTCACCCAGCGGCGCCCTCACACAACTGCAGCAGCTCTGCCCCCTGTCTGCCTGTCTGTCTGCATCACAAGAGGGAGGAAAAACAGCTTACGACGAATTAATAACGCTCCAGAATTGTAATATATATTTTCTCAGGGTTTCTTCTAGACGGAGAGCAAATATTTTAACACAGCTTTCAGGGCACAGTAGTGACACGTAGGAAGATGGCGTTATTTAAATTTGTATACAGATTTTTTATTTTTTACAAGAAAACTTATTTATTATAGCATTTAGACTGTTGCTGCTGTAGTAACTGTAAAAATGTTGTAAAAACAATATTACATTCACTAATTCATCATCTAATTCAAGACATTTTGTGGGATTATTGCAGGGTTGGAGACAAACAACTATTCACACTAACGTTCACTCGTCCGTTAGGAGAAAACGATTCGATTAATCAGACGATGAGATATAAAAAGAATAGTATAAAAAATAGTGGTTTTCTGCTGCTAGTGTACCAGTGGTGTGAACTCAAATAAATTCCAGTTTTAATATTTATGTATATATATGTAATATGTAGACTATTAACAAAAAAAAATCAGAGAGAGCGACGAAAGGAGTAAGATGGATTACAACAAATAATCGTCACAGGTTATTTAGCTAACATTAGCTTGGGGTTAGCCCTTTTTTTATTGCTGCAGACCTGTATGAATGTTTTTTGGTAAGATTTTATGAAGGGATTATTTAAAGTTCTAGATACTTTTTAAACTCCGCTTTACTTAGACAAGAAGGTCACTAGTTGTTTGTTTGTTTTTTTTTGGAACATTCTCGTTTACCGTCTGTTCAGATAGGCTATTACAAGTTTTAAGCTAATATTTTAATTCATGTCGCAGGACTGGTCACTGTCGAGATGGTTAAAAAGTGTGATTAGAAAAGGACCACGTTTGTTCGTTTGTTTTGGCTATAAATACACTCTCATTCTTTGGCATTTGATTTCATTATAAATTCAATCGTCATCAAGATCATAACGTGTTTCATCGCTTGTGTCAATTCATTGACTTTAACGTCGTTGCCCCCTGGTGGACATGTAGGAGTAATGCGTCTGCCTGAAATCCTCTTTCACGAAATGCCTTCACAGCGTTTCAGTTTCACACAGAAGGTTCTTGTTTTTTTCCCATGACTAATTTAAGAATTGTAATAACATTTTCAGTGATATCCAGGAGGTTTACGCTGAGGCCTTTGCTGGAAATAGAAACTCTGGCCTGGACGTCAAGGTTGAGGAGTTTTTTCCTCTTCTTCTGTGACCGACACCGTGGCTGCCGAAGCTGCTGCAGAGGGAAGACAAGTCTTCACTGCTCACTTTCACTGAGGTAAGGCTCTGATTAATTACATGTTTGTGTGTGTGTGTGGTTTCACATGTGGGAATTTCCTGTTTGCACTGTTTGGGTAAAAAAAAAAAGAAGAAAAGTCTGTAGAATGATTACAGTGTCCAACATTGACAACCTTGCATTCATTTTTTTCCCTCCACAAATATTCTGATATAAATTTAGAAGATGAAGTTTTTATCATCAAGCGATGTTAGAGAAGAAGCAGAAGGCACGCACATTAGGATCCAGCCTCGGGGGATAAAATTTAATCACAACCCCATCATGTAGTAATAGGAACCAGTTTGGTGTAATTGATATTATTACCACTAGGAAGAGCCCTAAGCCTTCCAATAAGTGAGTGCATCAAGAAGGGCGGATATGATGACAGTGTAATGATGGAGGGCCAAGAGAACATGCCAGTAAAAAGTTAAATTTTCTATCTTTCTTTTTTTAATGCACCTTTTCTTGGAAACAGCCTTATTACTAAGACATATATTTCGTGAATGGTCATCGTTGTTGTCAGGCCTCAGTGTTGTAATGGAGACCTGGGGGCTGAGAGGCCAGAAGAGGTGAGAGTGAGGTGAAAGGAGCAGCAGATGGGGAGTGAAGCAGCTCAGTGCAGACAGACAATGGGAGGGAAACGGCATCTATAGTCACAGCTACAGGTTTACTTTACATTTGTTCATCTGCCTGAACGACTCTGGTCCCCAGTTAAAATGAACGTAACAAGGGCCGAGGAAAGGGAAAGCATTGGCAGTGACATTGATATGACGCAGTCATAAATTATGTATTCTGCGTGCGTTTTGTATTGATTAATTTAGAGATTAAATATTAGGTTAGGTTAGATTGGATTTTGGTGATCCCAAACTGGGGAAATTGACACATTTCAGCAAGACAAAGGACAGTGAATGGCACAAGGTGGAGATTTAAAAAAAAAAATGTCAGGGCAGAATAGACTGTACAATTAATTTACAGTATATATATATATAGGCAGTAAAACTAGATCTACAAAATTAATAAATAATGTTAATAAAACACGAAATACCTGAATTTTTTACTCTGCTAGGCCTAAGGTGAAATGAGCCTTAGTGACCCAGGTCACTGTGGGCTACACTAATAAAAACCTTAAAAAACAAATGTTCAAACAGACAAGATAAATGTCAACTAATCCTCAAGTGGAATATCTGAAGATAAGAAAATTGACAAGTTGAAGCCAAACATGCACTGATTCAGCGAGTTATTTTGATAATGTGAACTGAGTGTAGATACGCAATAATCCTGACATAACTCTACTGGCACAGGCATCAGGGCAGAGTGTGCACATTGTTCCAGACTGAGGTATTCTGATGTTTTTTCCTTATCCTCTCCTAAACTGTTTTTTCATTCAGTGCAAAAATGGCTTACTGAAGAATGATGGCCTATTAGGTAGGGTGGAAAATGGGCTGTTTCTATTTTCACTCCCACTTGTTGTCTCTCTCTCACACACACACATACTCACCTACAGCTGTGAGGACACCGGTATAATTCACACATTCTTGCCGCTTGTCTTGACCTGGACCATTTAAAAAAAAAAATGCTTCAATTGAAGCTTTTTTTACTTTGACACTATTCTATTCCTAAAACCATATTTTTATTTCATTTTCTTTTTACATCTGAATGAAAAAAATTGTCAAAACAAAACAAAAACAGTTGCTTTAAAATAAGCTAAAAACCATGGAAAATAGAGTAATGTTCCTCCTGATATAACAGAAAACATTGTTAAAAAAAAGTTTACAAAAAAATTACCCAAAAGCGTTAGAGGCTAGCTAATTTGCTGCTTTATTATTCTTTATTAAGATTTTAAAAAGCAACCAAAAGTAGCTAACCAGTTCCTTTAAAACCAAACAAAAACAGTTTAGATAATAACATAGCTGAAGGCTATTCAAAAGCCGAGAAAAGTTTAGAAACTCTTTAACTTCAAAGTAAAAATGGTCAAACTAAAACCTTGCAAGCCAGACATATTGCAAAATTGCTAAGGCATTAGCAAAAAAAAAAGCATTTAGACAAAAACAAATGGCTAAACAAATTAACTGAAAATAAATCGCAATATAGCCAAATGCTAATTTAGTTAGTAATAGACTGCAAAAAGTTAAAGCTAGCTAAAGTTTAGCTAAAATATGATACTGATATAAACACTGAAGTGATAATAATTTTTGCTCTAAATTAGATGCTGCTGAGTTTGAAATATAGCAAGCTGAAAATAAATCGCAATATAGCCAAAAGTTAAAGCTAGCTAAAATTTAGCTAAAATATAGGCCAAAAATTCTTCACTGGTGCTGCCTGTTATTCTGATATAAACACGGAGGTGATAATAATTTTTGCTCTAAATTAGGTGCTGCTGAGTTTGAAATGTAGCAAGGAGAAGAGCGATTGGGAGCTGTAGGAATACGGCCCGCCCCTTTGACCCTTGACCTTGATTGAAAGTGTTGCCCCTGTGCAGATTATTCAAATAGAAGTGAACTATTTGTGTTGGGTGCAGCAGAAATGGGTGCAGCGGTGACAGTGGAGGAATGATGGTGGGTGTTTTCTAGAGTTGGCTGAAATAAATCAACCCAGCTGCCATACATTCTTTAATATAAACTGATCTTGGCAAAGTCGTAGACTGCAGTTCTGCAGCAGCCTCGCAGCACGCCGGCTGCCTGGTGTACCTACAGAGGAATAAACAAGAATGTGAGGTGGTGCTGTACTTCAGATAAGAGTCCAGTCTGAACTCGAGCCTGTGAAGGAAGATCCTGAACAATCAGGAAAAACCACCGGGAAGGAAATCTTTCTCACAGGAAGTGCCAAACAAAGATAGGAACACTGATTTGGAAAAAAGAGTCAGCTGGAAAGTAACACAGCTGAGGTCATGGAGATGGCATTTAGCAGTGCAGCTATAGATTCTTTCTGATTGACTGGATGGTTCCTTTTATTTTCACCGTGCAGTGAAGTTGTTTTTTTTTTTTTAATATTCACTCAGTTGAAAACTCAGATGTTTCCTCAGGGAGCACATGGTGTGTCTTGGAAACTTTTCAAAAGAAAGTTATAAATACCTTCCAGCAATCCCTCTGTTCCGTATCATGTCAGTGGTTCCTAAAGTTGGGGTCGGGGCCCCCTAGGAGGGCATCGAGTTGTTACAGCGGGTCATAGAAAGGCAAATAATCATATACATTTTCAAACTAACACTAAAAGTTAGCTGAATACAGCTAATACTGAGCACAACAGTGAAGACTAAATGTGAGGAAACAACCTGAAATGACTCAAACCTCATTCACCGAGCAACAAAGTCCTTTTTAGTCACTTCCTGTTGCGGTCCAAACATTAGGGTTTTATGATTCAAGGAGAACAGACTGTAAGATCGCGGCTTCAGAAAAGCGCGGCCTGTCGTCAGATGTAAACGAGAGACACAAAGGCTTTTATCCACCGTTTCACTTCTGCATTGTTTGACTCTGACTGCAGGTCACAACAGGACCATTCTGTTCCAGTCAGTGGTTCTGTATGAACTAAATGATGGACGACCGCGTCATTGTGTGGCTTTTCTTTGATTTCAACTCTCCTGACGTTCTTTTTTTAACCGCTTCGTGGACAGAGCTGACGTGATTGCTGAACAGAGTCATGGTTGCAACTGAATATGAAAATATGTGGGTCCAATGCACAGACCCCTACAAAACTCCACCCACACTTGGTGTTGAATGATGGTACTTAGGCGATGTGTCTAAATCTGGGGCCCCCTGCTGGCCAGGGCACTGCCACATTAAAGCTGTGACAGTGACATTCATGTGAAGTGATACCAAGAGCACCAAATATTTGCAAGAATAGAAAAATAAAATTCTGATGTGCTGGAAAGATGGGTTTCTCAGTGTAAACAACACCTGCAGGGGGTGCTGTTAATAATGTCGTTTGTTTTCCCACGATTAACACATTTGTCTTTTCACCTTTTGACCTTTTGACCTTTTGACGTTGGACAGTCTCAGGTAACTGCTCCTCTGTGGAGCTGTACACCTCCATCACCAACTGAACAAATGTTTATGATGCCATAGTTTGTTACATGAACCACTGGTTTGTACATTGAACTACAGTTTTTACCCATGTGGTTTAATTTATATATTTAGCTCTAAATACTCACTCTCTCTTGAGGATATTTTGGTTTCTGTCATTTCCAAAAATGAAAACACACACAGAGGGCAGCACTGTGCTACTGACCCATCAAAATTTAGCCCTGGAGGTACATTTTATCTTTCAAGATGTTATTCCATGTGTTGACCACAGTGAATCCATTCAGCCCTGGTGAGAACCTGCAGCATTTCATCTTTGGCATTAATGGCCCACATCTGTGTGCAATCCAGCACAGGCTAAGTATAGACAGGAAGACTGTGGTGGCCTTCAGATTGTTCCAGAATCTTTGACCAAAACAGCCGACTCACTTCTCTGTTTATGCAAAACTCACTATAGCAGCAAAAACACAGTTTTTTTTTCTTTTCTTCGTCTTCTTCTTTCTTTTCCCCCAGCGCCAGTGTGACAGACAGAGAGGGGAAGGAGGGCAGAGGGCTTCTCTCCATCTGGGTAGTATTACTCAGATTCCTCAGCGCTGAATGTTTGGTGATGCTGGCAGAGGCGAAAGGAGAGAGGCGGGAGAGTCAGAGTGAAGAAATGGGGTGAAAGGAAAATGAAGAGAGGTTTAAAAAACAGAGGGGGGCGCTGTTTTCTCACATCGAGGCCAATGACCTGGCATGCACTCTCCCATAACTGCTTGGTGTACGTAGGGAAAAAAAGTAAGAAAAATGAGACATTTAAAAAATGTTTGTGAACTAGATGATATATTTAATTGCACCTTAATGTTGTACCAGTGATAATTAACAGGGAAGTGAAAAATGACAGATGAGACTTTTAAAAAGCATCTAATTTTAATGCCTGTCTTAGTCATTTCATCCCCCAGTGGGAGGCGACAGTGTGGAAGCAGAGAGTCTGCTGCTGGTGCAACACTTCCATAACTCATATCCCCTGTGAATCTGTCTCAGCTTGTGGGAGAAGAAGGGAGGGTGCACACTGAAATAGGGAGGGAAGGGAAGAAAGAATGCACTTCGATCTTCTCATGTGATTTCACTTTGTGTGTTTTTTTTTTTTTTTCTTTTATAAGGCTCTAGCTTGATTACAGGTTTGTAGTTTGAGGCTCTTAGCAACATTTTCCAAACCCACTCACAGCTCACTGTTTTTCTGGCTCTGTGTTATCCAGCAGCATACTTTCCCTTACACTTTTTTTTTTTTTTTTTTTACTCCACTCCTGTGACGTGTGAGTGGAGTTCCTGCCCTTGTTCCATGCAGTGCAGTTGAGAGCGACCTGTGGAGAGGCAGACTCTTATTTTGAGCTGTCAAAGAGAAGATGAATTGAAGGTATAAACAGCAGAGGCTGTTGGTGTTGTGGAGCAAGTGAGTGTACTTCTGTCCTCACAGGGAAGTGCGACGAGGAGGAGAGAGGACGTGGAGAAGGAGAGCGACTGATTGACGGAGGAGACTAAGTGGCCTACATCTGTCGCCCGTGGGCAGAAGTGGAAGATAAGTTGGGCTTAAGAGAGACAACGACAACGTAGGAGGAGGGGCAACACCCACTGGAGGACCACCGAGAGCAGACAGTTTTTCCAGGGGAAACAGGACAGGATGAGGTACCAAGGCAGGGTAAGGACCACCGCTCTGATGCTCTGCGTTGTTTGTACTGATTTTGATGGAGACGAGAGCAAAACAAGAAAGTTGTGCCTCAGCAGGAGTCACTTTGTACTGGGTTTTGCAGAAACGCGGGCCCTAAAGAACTTTAAGAGTTAAGAGTGTGATTCGTAGGGATTTGATCAGTAGGGAGACAGCTGTGGCACCACAACAACTCGCCCTGGGACAAAGTGCTAGGACATACCTTATAAGGAAGACAACCCGAATAGAGTTGGCCCAACACGGCTTAGTCATGGGGCCTGGAGCCAAGACCCAGTGTTGGGCTTGTCTCCCCTCTGGTTGCCATGGAAGCTTCTCCTTCAAAACTTCAGTTTTTGTCTTATAAATATATAACTGTAACCATTTCAACACATTGGGGTTTTCAGCTGTTCAGAGTCTGAGTGAGTTCTGCTGCTGTAACGAGCAGAGTTTTTGAGTTGCTGAAAAAAACTGCCAGGATTAGATGAGCTGTGTTTGTGGTTAAAACACCACCCAAGAGCTGTGGTCCTGAGGCTACCTACCAGCCAAAGTGACGGCAAAACGTTTTTTTAGTTTTTGTTTTAGATTATTTAAGACCTTCTCTCACGCAGCAACTGCAGTGTTTTTCCTTGTTTTGGGAACAGAGCCATGTTTTTGATTGGGCCTGTTTCCCCTCTACCAGTGATGGTAATAACATTCCTGAAATAAAAACAAATTAAAAAAATCAAACCCATGATCACAGAGAGACCCGTCCATGAAACAATGTTCGCAGTGTTTCTGGTTACATAAGAAAACAGTGTGGAGCTGAGAAGGAGGAGAAAAGGAAAAACACGCCGTCATGATGAGATCACAGCCCAAATGTTCGGAACAAATAAACACTGGCATTATCAACACAGTGGTCCCTGTAGAACTGTTACCCTAAAGACATGTGGCCCTACAAGAAGGCGACGTGAAAGTCCAGATCAAGGGCATTAAAAATGAGACAGTTATGAGTTTTTAGATGATAAAATTATACGATAAAACTTCGACTTTTTAATATAGTAGGTTTTGTAACAGAAATATTTGTGAATCTGTAATTTAATCTGTAAGTTTTGTTTTTTGTTTTCAGTTACGTATTTGCCATCCAACCATATGTGTTTGACAATGCTGAATAGAGACAGGTGTCACCACAACTGTCCGTCAAAAGTGGGCGGGTCTGTGGTAGTCATTCACGGGCTGCAGTTGGCCCCAAACCCCTAGTTTGAAATCTCATCAATTTGTGTATTTTAAGAAATGCACCAAACCAATACCATAGCATATCCATCCATCATCCACTCATCCATCCATTCATTCATTCATTTTCAACCAGTCCCAGCCGTCATTGGCCCAACATCCACTCATCCATCCATTCATTCATTCATTTTCGACCAGTCCCAGCCGTCATTGGCCGAGGCTGTGGTTCCACCCTTGTCCAGTTGTGTTGCTCTGACCGGTGACATCCACCTGCACTGTTCCTGACCCCGACATTCCTTTGTAGTATCCTTTGGAAAATCTTACTGTAAGCCGTAATGACATGTCAGTGGGACGTCCACCTGCAGGAGCGGCAGAACAATGCTCCAAGGTGAAGGCGAGAGGAGCGGGGAGTTGGGGAAGTGTCTGATGACTTTCCTTTGCTCTGGATCAGTGCTTGGCCGTCGTCCACTGTTGTCCTCTTGTTGTTTTTTTTTGTTTTTTTGAAGGGGTTTCCTGCGTCCAGTGCTCAGAGATAATGTCCTACTGTTGGCATTAAGAAGCCAAATGAGACCCTGGAGACGTTCCTGTATTGGAGAACAACAGACTGTGTTGTGCTGTGGAAGTGCAGGCACTTTGTTCCGTTTTTATTGGTGTTTGTTCTGCAAAGAGTGAAGAAACACAAGCAGGGTTTTCATACCTTTGACTCTGGGGCCAGGACTGAACCTCACTGGACCTAACTGGACTGGACCTAACTGGACTGGACCTAACTGGGCTGAACTGGACTGGACTGGACTGGACTGGACCTAACTGGACTGGACCTAACTGGACTGGACTGGACTAGACCTAACTGGACTGGACTGAACCTAACTGGACTGGACCTAACTGGGCTGGACTTGACTAGACCTAACTGGACTGGACTGCACTGGACCTAACTGGACTGGACTGGACTGGAGTGGTCTGTGTGCAATGCATTTATCTCCTGCAGTAAGTATTGACATAAGCCTTTTTCAGGGTGCTTAAGTAGATCGGAGCGTACTTATTAAACACCCAGGCTAGGCTAGCATTAGTGACGTGAATTTGATGCGAAAATCGGAGCGTACTTATTAAACACCCAGGCTAGGCTAGCATAGGTGACGTGAATTTGATGCGTCCGCATTTCTCGGGTCCTGGTGGAGGTGAAGGACTGTTTGTAGGTACCCCTCTTTACACCGTGTTTGTGTGTGTTGCTACTTCACCTGGTATGTCACCTGGTATTGTACCAACACGGTCTAATCTGATCTGCTGATGAAGAACTGTTGTGTACTGTACATATTGTCTTGCCGCTTCTTCACCCCATCCCTGTCTCTCATGTCTGTTTATCATTTGGACTTAAACGTCTCCATTGTTCGACCTTGGCAGGACTCGTGGAAGGGTTTTTTAGGGTTGTGTTTCTGCTCAGTCTCCAAACTTGTTCTGTACGTCAGATCAGTCCTGTCTTTAAATCATAAATCAACACTGATTGTGTATAATAAAAAAAAAACTGTTCCGTTTTCAACAACGGCTGTGTAATTTTACTGCCACTATTTTAAACAGCTGTGCAGTCGTTCCAAACTATGTGAACAAGTTGAATTAGAAATGTGGTATTTAGTGCCACCTGCTGGTCAAATTTAAGAAAACTTTGATCTCAACCAAAAACGAAATATTTTCTAGTATTGACTATTTTTTTTACATTAATTTAATTTTTATTTGTTTGATTTTTTTTTGCACGTGTAATAATAAATGTTAACTTCCCTGACATTTTTCTACCAACTCCAGAAACCCAGAAAAATTTAAATTGTTTAGGAAACAAAGAGAAAAAATGGTTTTATTGCTGGGTAGAGATTTTTAAAGGGATAATTTAAGTGTAAAAAAACCCCCAGTAAAACATGATGATGTAGAGTAGTAAAAAAAAAAAGAAATCCAAAAATAAGTCTTAAAAAATGCCAAATAGATGCAAGTAAAAAATAAAGATAATTACAAGAAAAAAAAAGAAATCCAAAAATAAGTCTAAGTAAAAAATAAAGATAATTACAAAAAACAATATTATGATTGTACTGATAATGTGTCTCATATATATATAAAAATAAGACAGATTTTAATCAGCAGCTGCTTGGTTTTTTCGTCTCTCTCTCCTGCAGGAGGTTGATGTTCAGGGACGAGTGCGTCTGGTGATGGAGAGCGCTCTGACTGCACGGGACCGGGTCGGGGTGCAGGACTTTGTCCTGCTGGAAAATTACAACAGTGAAGCGGCTTTCATAGAGAACCTGAGACGACGCTTCAAAGAGAACCTCATCTATGTGAGCGAGACAGTCTTTGTTGTTGTTGTCGTCTGTGTTCTCTGTCTGTGTGTCGACGTAGCACTGACTCTTGTCATGTTTGTGGGTCAGACCTACATCGGCTCCGTGTTGGTGTCGGTGAATCCGTACAAAGACCTGGAGATTTACTCCAAGCAGCAGATGGAACGTTACAGAGGAGTCAGCTTCTACGAGATCTCACCTCACATGTGAGTCGCACTGTTGTCGTCACACCTTTTTTTTTACCCAGACTCTTCTGCTGCCACCTGCCGTCGTAGTGACACATTAAGTGTCGGGGGCTATTAATAGATGCTCTGATAAACAGAGATCAGACAGAATTGATTTAGGCAGCGGACACGTCCAGAGTTCTGTCCAGGGGCCAGAATAGTTAGCTAAAATAGTTGGTTAAAATATATAGGGCCATTATAATGTGTCGCTTTTTCTGAATTTTTGTTAGCTCTGCTAGTTGTAGCTAGCTTAGTGAAGCTTTAGCTATTTTATTTCATATTTAATTGTGTATTTTCTTACTAACCTAAATAAGTCATTGTTATTTGTTTTAGCTGCAAAGAAAAAAAAAGCCGCTATTATTGTTCCGCTATTAAACTTTCCAATAAATTCTGACTTTTATTTAAAACAAATTAAGACCAACATTATGTTATTTGACTCGTCCAAAATGAAAATGCTAATAGGTTTTGTAGAAATCTGTGCAATGATGTTTTAAATAATCGTTGTTAACGCATCAGAATCATAAATGTCTGTCTGTTTTTTGTTTCAGCTACGCGTTGTCAGACAACGCCTACCGAGCGATGAGGACGGAGAGGAAAGACCAGTGTATTCTGATCTCAGGTGAGAGTGGAGCAGGTAAAACAGAAGCTTCCAAGAAGATCCTCCTCTACTATGCCGTCACCTGCCCCGCCAACGATCACATGGCTGCCCTGGGTGAACAGCTGCTGCAGTCCAACCCTGTCCTGGAGGTCAATAGTCTTTAATATTCTCTATTTTTATTTTATTCCCCCCCCCTATTTTGCTTTCTGTCTAACTCCCTCTCTTTCTAGGCCTTTGGGAACGCCAAAACATTGAGGAATGACAACTCCAGTCGCTTCGGAAAATACATGGACGTCCAGTTTGACTTCAGGGTGAACCCTTTTTCTTTGGCCATCTTGGTGGCAATGTTTGATTTTTTTCTTTTTTTTTTTGTCCATAAAGGACTTTGAGGAACTGTTAGTACTTAAAAGCAAATAGATATAAAACACAGGTTCATCTGGGGGACTGGGATTTGAACTAGCAGTCCTACATTTAAATGCCCAATCCTTGAACTACTTGTTTATTTCTCCCTTGTTATTCTCTGACTCTTTGCCAGGGGGCACCGGTGGGCGGTCACATTTTGAACTACCTGCTGGAGAAATCTCGAGTGGTTCACCAGAACCACGGTGAGAGGAACTTCCACATCTTCTATCAGCTGCTGGATGGAGGCGACGACGACCTGCTCCACAAACTGGGGCTGGAGAGAAACCCGCAGAAGTTTCAGTATCTGGTGAAGGTGTGCAGCACTTTGACAGATGATGGGACCTCAACCCCAGGTTTGACATCAACATCAACACTGGTGTGACCTGTCCTTGTCTTGCTCAGGGAAACTGCCCCAGAGTCAGCTCCATCAGTGACAAGAACAACTGGAAGGTGGTGATGAAGGCTCTGTCCGTGATTGGCTTCACAGAGGAAGAGGTGCAGGTGAGAACCAATCGCAGCGAAGAAGTGAATCAGCTTCACAACGGACAGAAACAAGAACACAAAATGAAGAGTTGAATTCAGCGTACAAGGAACGTTCATTTGAAACATTCTGCAAAAATGTGTTAATATTTAAATCTGTATAAATGGAATTACTTCAGAGGTTTATGTACAAAGATTTATTTGGAATGCAGTGACAATAATATGAAGTATTTTGTTGGAGTGATTCATATGATGTCACATAAATATGTGCTCTGATACTTTATCTCTTGATCTTTCTTCATATTTTTTTTTCTTTTTTAAATACCAGAATTTACTTAATGTCATCGCCAGTGTTCTCCACCTGGGGAACACTCAGTTTGGAGAAGGAGAGGAGGGAGAAACTTTCATCACCACTGAGACCCAGATGCCAAATCTGGCTGAGGTCAGAACTGTCCCGTGGAATGACTGACAACAGCCTCCAACAGCCCAGAACATTCATGTCTTGACAGCAGATGTTTTTTGTTGTTCTTGTTGTTCTCCAGCTGCTGGGTGTTGATGGCTCAGCTCTGGGGAACGCTCTCACTCACAAGAAGCTCACAGCCAAAGGAGAAGAGGTCGGCCAAACCATCCTCTCTCCCAGAACTGCACATTCCAGCTGTTTTCAACCGTGTCGACCCTCATCCTGTTTATAATGTTCTCTGGTTCCAGATGATCACTCCACTGAATTTCGAACAGGCAGTGTCGGCCCGTGATGCTTTAGCCAAGGCTGTGTACGGGCGCACCTTCACTTGGCTGGTGGAGAAGATCAACCAGTCGTTGGCCCTGAAGGTGCAGCAGCAGCTGTGTTAGCACTCACGTTATTAGCTTTTCTGTTTTTGTCTCTTTGCAGCTTATTGTCTGATTGAATGCTGTACGTATGTGTGTGTGTATGATGCAAATGTAGGAGGAGATCTACTACAGCACCATGCCGTCTTCAGTTATAGGACTTCTGGATATTTACGGCTTTGAAGTTCTACAGCACAACAGGTGTGAAAAATGCTCTTTCGTATTTATGATTTTTTTTTCTTTAAACTAGATTTTGCACCGATACCACTCAAATATGAGTATAATATTTTTTTTTATTTGTCTTCTTGCTGATACCCAGTACTGTCACTGATGCAATGAACTCTGGGTGCTTACAGACAGACACGGTTCTGGAGTCTGAGAACCTTGGTGCTTTTTGGCAAACCAGGCTGCATTTATCCTACACCGAATTACTGTATCCATTTTTACCTTTGCAGCTTCGAGCAGTTCTGCATCAACTACTGCAACGAGAAGCTGCAGCAGCTGTTCATCGAGCTCACACTGAGGTCTGAGCAGGAAGAGTACGAGACCGAAGGGATTGCAGTGAGTGTCATATGTTGGGTTGGCTGTTTCAACATCTGCGGTGGACGCCTGTTGTGGATTTTAGGTTGTTCTAAAACAACCTGCTCTTCTTCTCGATGTTTTCTGACCAATCCCAGTGGGAAACGGTTCAGTACTTTGACAACAAGATCATTTGTGACCTGATTGAGGAGAAACACAAAGGCATCATCTCCATTCTGGTACATGTTACACCTTCACCTTCACGTACAGCGTTTTCCTCTGTGGGGTTTGTCTGTGATCAGGCGTCTGACTGTCTTCCAGGATGAGGAGTGTCTGAGACCTGGAGAGACCTGCGACGTCTCCTTCCTAGAGAAGCTGGAGGACACCCTGGGGGGTCATCCACATTTTGTCACGTGAGCGTCCTCAGTGAATATTTTATGACGATTCTTCTAAACAAAATGACCAAACCTCACTAGCTGTCAATATATTAAACAACGACAAAAATATTAACTGGAAAGAGTTCCTTTTTAACTGATTCACGATGCATCGTCGCATCCCTAGTGATAATTAAATTTTGTCTTTCAGCTGCACTCCAACAAGCTCACTTTTGTAAATCTGTGTATAATTTCACATCTCCGTGTGTTTTACAGACACAAGTTGGCAAATGGAAAAACCCGTCGGGTGATGAACAGGGAGGAGTTCCGACTGCTGCACTATGCCGGAGAGGTCAACTACAATGTCAATGGTGAGCTCTAACGTGTGTGTTGTTTATGAGAACACTGTGTCAGTCGGCAAAATTGTTTTTAATGTCTTAGAGAATTAGAATTGGGGGCTGATTAAATCACAAAACTGTGGATGTGAAGAAAGAAAATCTTTAATATGGCCTTTATTCTTTAATTGCCACTATTCTTTTCTAATGCATTTAAAAAAATCAAATTAAGAATTTTAAACAAATAAAGGATACTTTGGAAATCTGTCCCTGCAATAATTTATAATATACAATTTAATTAAAATCTCAACATCTATAGAAACATCTGAAGACCAGTTTTTTTTAATTCATCTCAATGACAAAGAAAATATGTTTGAAAAGGTCAAGCTTAGGTGTTGGTACAGACCAGATGTAGGAAATTGGATCTGTTCCTGGTGGAACTGCATGGTTTCAAAAAGAAATCACCTAAAATCACATGTTTTGTAACCGATCAATAATCACTTTCCATCTCAGTCACTGCTTTCAGTTTTTCTTATGTGCAGTGTGTTTACTGGACGCTCTGATGTTTCTTTTAAAAGTAAAAATTACCTTAAAAAAAAAAAGCTGCAAAATTTTGCAGCTTTAAAAAATATTTTCGCACAGTAATGACTTCTGATCCGGACTACTTCCCATAATCCACTTCTTCTCTAGTGACCCTCTGCCATCTTGTCACGTAGGTTTCCTAGAGAAGAACAATGATCTGCTGAACAGGAACCTAAAAGAGGTTAGTGTGTGTGGGTGTGTGTGTGGGTGTGATGTTCCTGACATGCAACAAAAGTGCATTCCTGTTGAACAGTACTTGTTGGGCAATTATTTTTATTTTTATCTTTGAGTATTTTTTTTTTAATGTCTTGGTCTTGGTTTAGGTCATGTGTCAGTCGGACAACCAGATTGTCAGTCAGTGTTTCCGCAGAGAAGAGGTGATGGACCAGAAACGACCTGAGATGGTACTCGATCTCACAGCCTCTCTGTTTGTTAAGTAACACTCATGAACCGACGACTCAGGAATTCTTCTTTGCTTCTTGTCCGTACCCTGCAGGCTGCCACACAGTTTAAAAACAGCCTGATGAAACTGATGGAGATCCTCATGTCTAAAGAACCCTCCTACGTACGCTGCATCAAACCCAACGACGGGAAGCAAGCTGGTACCGATTGTTTACTGAAACACTTGTCTTTGAAGTCTGTTTTATGGTTTCTGGTCAGGGCTGTAACATGGTACATGTCAGGTTAGGGCGATAAAGGACAGAGAAGGGAATGTGGTGAAAGAAAAACCAAACATTTGTGTTCACATAGCACTTCAATATGTTGTCGATACAAAGATCAGTCCAGATGACATGCTGTGTGTGTGGAGCTATGAAAATGTTCAGTACAATTTTCTGTATTGTGTCTGAGGTGATGTTGGGTCTGACCAGCAGGTGGCAGAGTGCTGGTCAGATGCTCAGATTTTCATTACCAGTGACAGAAAATCAGATGAACAACAGCAAAAGTTTGAAGATAAAGGCTGTTTAAAGTGGGGGCAGTGAGAAAAAGAAGTGTAAATAATCAAGTGTGTCTCATGTGCAGGAAAGTTTGATGAAGTCCTTGTCAGACACCAGGTAAAGTACCTGGGTCTGATGGAAAACCTGCGAGTCAGAAGAGCTGGATTTGCGTATCGACGTCGCTTTGAAGCCTTCCTGCAGAGGTGACTGAATATCTGTAATGAACCAAGTACAGTCTCCGTAAGCGTCTGTGTTTGTCCTTCATTCATCGCTACCATCTGACAGGTATAAACCCCTGTGTCCCGACACGTGGCCCAATTGGCACGGCAGGCTGGCTGATGGTGTGTCCCTGCTGGTCAACCACCTGGGCTACAAACCGGAGGAGTACAAACTGGGCAGGTGATGAACGTAACAAATGAAAAGAGAGAAGAAAAGAAGAGCAGTTCAGTTCAATCTGGGTTTGTTTTCTGCAGATCGAAAATCTTCATCCGTTTCCCAAGAACTCTCTTCAACACTGAGGATGCACTGGAAGCGAAGAAGCCCGAGATCGGTGAGAGTCAGTAGACACGGTTCACAGCCCACAGAGAAGGGGTGTCCTTGCCGCAGGTCATTTCTTCTTCATCAGACTTGGAGAGTTATTCCACTTCACTTACAGCTCAAGTCTCAAAAGTGAGGCCCACGTCCCACTGATGTAAATGTCGGTTGCCACGTGGTGGTGGTGGCGCCACGATGGGCTCGCTGGGCTAAAATTTGGACGTGTGTCATGAAATCAGCGGCTGGCAAACAAACCTGTTCCTATTCCGTGGCTCAGTCTCTTTCCCCATGTCTTTGTTCCAGCTTTGACTCTGCAGACGTGTTGGCGAGGCTACAGGGAGAGATCCAAGTACCAGCGCATCAGGCGTGCAGGTCAGAAATAGATTTTGAGTGCCAGTTATTTATTTAATGTGGCTTTGTGTTCAGTTCACCAAACAGACATGCTGCTTATTATTCTGAGTTGTGTTGTATTTGTTTTGCTTTAAACATGACTTCCTTAGTCCCTTTTTTATCGTGTAAATGCATGAGGGTATGTTTTCAAAATACTTATGGTTTCAGTGATCTATGCTTTGCTGCACTTAATCAGTGTACAGCTGCTTTAATGGGTTTAACACACAGCATTCACTTGTATGTATTGCCTTGCACTGTCACTGTCACTTTTCCTCTAAATGGGATCAAAATTGAGGAAAATGACATCATGTTTTATGAAGGAAGAACTTCTTGGAAACACATTTATTTCCAGGTACTATCATCTTTATACATATTTTTACTTTTTTATAAACTTCAATTTTTTTCTCCTAAAAGAAATAAAACTTTTTTTTTGCAGCTAGTGCACACCTATTTCAGATCTGTGGTCTATTATTTTGTGTTGTTTTTTTTAAACTGTGGCTTAGCTTCAGAGTGACCTTGGTGATAATGTCTGCATGTCTGTGTATAATGTATATAGTGATAGTGATCCAGTCTGCGTGGCGAGGGATGAAAGCACGCAGGAGGGCAAGGAGGCGTCGGCAGGCTGCTGATTTAATCCGCAGGTGCTCCACTTTGCTTTTTTTTTTTTTTTTTTTTGTGGTGTTTTTTTTTTTCATGTGTAGTTTCTTTTCAACTGGCTGTCTATTTATTCCAGGTTCATAAAAGGCTTCATCTACCGTCACGAGGAGTACTGCCCTGAGAATGAGTACTTCCTGGATCATATTCGCTACTCCTTCCTGAAGAACCTCATCAAAAACCTGCCTAAGAGTGTGCTGGACAAAAGCTGGCCCACGCCCCCACCATTGCTCTATGAGGTACCCACAGAGCAGCACTTTGTCTGCCTGATATGCTGAAGTCAGATTTCTTTTTAAAAACGTTAAGTGACTGCAATAATGAATATGAATATGATGACGACGACCCAATGAAGTTCCAATGTTCTTAAGAAAATACAAGTACAATTAACAGTAATCATTGCACGATGTTCACGTATATTTTAAAATACTTTATCACCCTGTTGTACTGCAGGCCTCCGAATACCTGCGGGTGCTGCACATGAGAAACATGGTTGTGAAGTACTGCATGAGAGTACAGCCCGAGTGGAAGAAACAGGTATATACACCTACCGATCTGTGTTGTGCATTAGCCAATCGTCTTTTACATACAGAGCAATACTGCCACCTAGTGACTGCATCAAAACTTGTTTTTGATTTGATCTGTGGTCAGAAATCCAAACTTTACACATATATATATATACATATATATATATAGTATGTTTATCATTTATTATGTTAAATCTGTTTCTTCTCTGCTGTAGATGGTGCAGAAGGTCGTCGCAAGTGAGATCTTCAAAGATCAGAAAGACAGCTACCCTCAGAGTGTGGGGCGACTGTTCCTGGACACACGGCTCGGTGCGTTGACTGATTATTTCAGACTGTAACAAACAGTAAATCTGTCAATTTTGCTGAGGCTGTTTTTTTTCCCCTCTACTTTCCACAGAACGTGAACAAATCAATCTGAAGGTCACCCAGACTCTTGGAAGTGAAAAAGTCCAGGTAGGATTCAGGATTTGTACTAGTTAATCTTGGAAGTGAAAAAGTGCAGGTAGGATTCAGGATTTGTACCAGTTAATAACATTGCTGCTGCTGATGATGATGATGATGATGATGATGATGATGATCACATCCTCGCTCTCCTCAGTACGGTGCCTCCGTCACAAAGTACGACAGAAGAGGTTTCAAACCCCGGCCCCGTCAGCTGCTCCTGTGTAACACCTTTGCTGTGCTGGTGGACAGAACCAAGATCAAGCAGAAGTTCGACTACATGGCTCTAAAAGGTAAAAAAACAGCCCTGACTCAGGACAGAGCCTGGTGAAGAAATATATGTAGATAAGATGTATATTTTACTTGGCTGTGACAGGTTGAAAACACTTAAAATGTAGTTCACAGTTAAGGGGTCCTAGACACATAAATGGTCACCTTGGGCGCCATCTAGTGGAGAGGGTGATGCTGTAGCCCGGTACAGGAAAACAAACAAACAATTACAGCAGTGGAGGTCTTAATTACAAAGTAATTCAAGACTGTTTGTTAATTCTACTGTTGCCAACGTTACTTTAATCAAAATTGTAATTTCTTTTACTTATTTAGCATCTTATTTAATAGTAAAAAAACAAACAAACAAAACAAAAACAAACAAGTAAGACCCAAAATAAATTCTACAGTGACACATCTATGGTCCCCGACCTAGTCTTTGTGGATGATCATAATCTCTTTATCTCTCTCTCTCTCTCTCTCCCCCTCAGGTATCTCCTTGAGCTCGCTCAGTGATGGGATGTTTGTTCTGCACATGCCTGTTTCAGACAAAAAGCAGAAGGTACAGTAGAGGGCAGACAGGGCAAGTACAACTGTAGTACAGATCTGAGTGTGTCTGTGTCTGTGTGTCCACAGGGTGATGCTGTGCTACAGTGCAACAATGCGATAGAACTGGTGACTAAAGTGGCCATGATGGCCGACAAGATGGACCACGTCAACATCTGCCCCGGCAGGTGGGTGGACTCTGTTTGTTACCACGACCGTTTTTAGTCGTTTTTCACACATTTCACAAAAAGGTGTTTATTGAGGTTGAGGTGGAAGTGTGTTTTAACAGCACACAGTTGGTTCTGCAATAATAGAATATTCAGAAAAGAATAGAATGAGTGCAAAAAAAAAAACATTTTTTTCCAGAGAACACTTTTGTTTTTCACTATTCTGTTAATTTTTCAAGGGAAAATACTCTCTGTATTTAACCCTTTCCTGAAACAGTGCAGCAGTGGAGATTTGGTGCTTGCTCAACAAAAAACAGTCCTGCCAGGGCTGGAATGCCAATGCAATCCTCTTTTGACCACTAGGCCACAGGCTGCCCAAAATGAGGAACACTTCCTCATCCTTCCACATGGGCCGTGTTGATTTCTCTATTTTCATTAATGGGTTCCCTGCTATGACTAAACATTGTATATATAGGTACATGACTTCATCAGAGTAAAGAAAACATTTTAGAGATAGTGAGATTTAAAAAATAAACTAATAGTTAATAGTCTAACTTTTACTTTTATTTACTCTGACTTGTTACATGAAGGCAGCAGCGGCCTGAGTTGTTCTCTCACAGCGCAGCGCCGTCGACTCCAGAGCTGTGTTTTATCATTTCTCTTTTCTTTTTTTTTTACTTTTCTTTTCACAGCATCAAGTTTGTAATGAGTCGCGGCAAAGAGGGAATCATTGATTTCATCAGAGGCTCGGAGATGAAGGTGTCGAAAGGCAGGAGGGGACATCTGCTCGTGGTGAGTCACACCTCAGTGTTCGCCATGTGACAGGCTAAAAGGAGGAGTGGCAGGATGTTTTTTCTGTTATTATTTATAAGAAATTATGTCCACCTGACTCACTGACTGCCTGACTGGCTAATTTCCCCTGCAGACCGTCCCACGCACCAGCACCACGTGAATTCACAGGAAAAACCATGACCAACGGTAAAACCTTAAACCAAAGTGATGATCAGCACGAGTCGTCAGATCCAACTCCATGTCGCCTCATTATCACCGTCGTGTCCATGCACAATGTTGCAGCTTCTTTTTTCTTTTTTTTCTTTTTTTTTCTTACACGTCAATCATTATAACATGAAGTCGTCACAGTTTCAAATGCTTGTCTTTATTTACGGGCACATGGAAACAAAAATATATTTATCTCAAGTAAACATGTAAAACACTGTATTTTCACACAGTTTGAGAAATAATTAAAAAAAAAGTTTTTAAAAATTGCAATAAATAGTCTTTATAAATATATCAATAAATAGTAAATATGTCTCTGGAAATTCCAGGAAATGGAGTACAACTGATGGACGCCAGCTTAATTCACAGTCAGATAAAAAAATAGAGAAACTGTGGGGAAAAAAAAAACTCCCTCACCCCCTCAAAAAAAAGTGGTCCCCAAATATAAAGTCACAGAAAATTAATACAAATAACAGCACAGTCATTTTTGAGAGGCGATGGTTGTAACTAGAAGGCTGCAGCTTTAGTGCAGCTTCACAGCACTGAGTCATCCTTGTGGTTTGATGCCAGCAGCAGGAAGTCTCTTGCCAGCTTGGTGAGGTAAAGGTCCAGGTCCCTGAGGATGATGTAACCCTCCACACGTCGGTCCCAGGCAGTCATGGAGCTGTTTTCTGTGTCCAGGGAAATTTGTGCTGAAGGAAAAGTCGGCTTTTTCCATGAGCTCCTCATCTGTGTCATCTGGTGAAGTAAACAAAAGTTGTTTTTAATTTTTTTTTTATTAAGTGTTAAGGGAGTTGTTGAGATGTTTCCATTACTTTGATTAGAAGTTATAATAATCCAGAAAGTCAGAAAAAAGGTCTCTGTACAATTAATCCACAAGAAATAAGGTGGATGCTGCTGCTGAATGTGCATGATTTTGAGCCCCCTACAGGCTATATTATATATCTGTTTTAAAAAAAATTGGGGGGGCATTAACCAAGATCTTTTGATCACTTTTTAACCCTGAAACTGTCAGGAATGTTTTTATCCGTTTTTATAATTTTCAGATGCTGAATTTAATTTAACGTAATTTGCTTTTTATTGCCCTTTCATCTGCTAAATACATTTTGTTACAGATTTTAGTTTTGTGAAGTATCCAAACTTTCCTTCATTTTCTGAAAGTAAACATTTGTTAAATTTTTATTAAATTATTTTTGAAGCAATCCATGCTTCCAGGTAAGTGTACACTCATTTAAAGCGTCGTTTTAATGACTGTATTTTAGTGTGTGTGTTACCTGATTGCTGACTCGGTTCATCAGGTCCCTCAGGTCCAGCTGGATGTGTCTGATGCTCTGGGATAAACTGCTGTGTCTTGACATCTGCTCCTTCTCCAGCTGTTTCCTCTTCCTCTCCAGCATCTCCCAGTAAATCTTCAAGTTCCCCAGTGCAGCCTGCAGCCGCTCCCAGTCCTGCAATCGCAACGAGAGACAATCAGATGATTGCAAACAGGAAACACCGTTGGAGTGCAAAAAAGGAGGGAGATTCCACTGCAAGGTCAGACACTTCAAAAGTGTCATTGGGTTTCATTTACTTCCACAGAAGATGTTGGTGTTATGGGGATTTTTGTTGGTGTCTTTTTTTTAGAAATCTCTGAGAATGTGGTTTGAAGGAAAAGAAAAACCACACTGAAGTCATATTTTGTTTTTTTAGGAACAAGCAACAACTTACAGTCATCATGATCCAGTCTTCGTAGTCTGTAGACAGCGACGGCAGATCCTTCAACAGTCGTCTGTCCTCAAAGTGTTTGTTCCCCAACTGTTGTTCCTTCTGTGACAGAGAGCAGAGCAGGGATTAGAGGTGATTTTAGAGGCCAGTCAGCGTATCTCCATATTCACACTGGAATTTGCATTGAATGCAAATCAGGTGAGCAGTGGGTTCTTTTACTGCAGCACCTGAGGAGCAAGGGGATTTTATTTTCCTGGTCAATGCCCAACCTATCACAGCCAGGGCAGGATTCAAACCCTCATACAGAGCTTGACCCCTTTACCACCAGGCCAGGATCTCAGTCAGGTTTATATTTATATTTCAGCTTTTATATTTTCAAGTTGTATTTGATACTAATGCGAGGAAGGTTTGACCACCACTCACATATTTGTTTAGCAGCTGATGAACTCGGCTTCGAGTGGACCTGGTGAGGCGAAACGAGGTGTTGTTGTTACTCCTCTGACCTTCTGAAGATGGAGAAGAGTCGGCAGAGTTCAATACACAGCAAAGTAGGATGAGAGCCCCGCACCAGACACCAGCCATCTAGAAAAAACACACACACACTTTAATTCAGTCCTACAACCACATCTGATCTTAATCCTCACCCACAAATATACATAGTCATATATCTCTTTGACTTAAGTTCTGTTTGTAATATGTATATATATATTTTTTGTCCTGCATAGGTCCTTGCCTAAGTTTACCGGTGGGAATTACGACATTCGTGTACAACTTGAACGCACCATAAGTTGTAGCGCACCGACGTGTACAAACAGTTGTACGATAATTATCGTATTTGTACAATAATTTGGCACTCTCTACGATGTACGATCGATAATCCTCCAAAACGATAAATATACGATAATTTTACTATTCCGTTAGGTGTGTGGTTGCAATCGGCGCGTCGCCATTGTCTGCAGGATAGGTTTTGTTTTGTTTTGTTAACCCCGGAGATACCTGTTTTCATGTGACAAGTTTCCAGCTAATTGTACTTTCCTAAATGTGAGTTACGAGTGACGTTCAAGTCCTTGCATCAGAGTAATGATCATGATTGGCTGAATGGTCCACTGCACCCGCCCCATGAGATGCTCGGAGAGGAACGAGAGAAAAAGGGGACAAATAAGGGGGGGCGAGAAAAAAGCATGGGGAAATAAGAAACCCTGGGGAAGGAGGAGGGGGTGGAGGAGGACAGGCAAAGTATACGGCGGGGGAAAGTAAAAGTAAGTATCGTCCGATAATACGATAAACGATAATTTCCCTTAAAATACGATACTTTTGTACCTCTTGTACGATGATTCTACGTTTCCCGCCTGACAACACTGTACAGACATTGTACGAAATATCACTCCTGGTGTTTGCCACGTTATTTGGGGACAGTAGAGGGGACGGATGTGGGTCACTTTCGAATCTGAGGGAGTCACTCCCCCTCACACCCCCGTCTCTAGTGGTCATTTGCCCACAACTAACGATTGCTTTAAGTTTCACTTGCTGAACGCTGCAGCCACCGAGAAGGATAGAATTTCCAGGAAGTTCAAATTTCAGTCAAAACCTCAAAGCATCCCCAAAAAGTCAACGTCATTTCTGTTATGTAATTCTGTAATAATACAGTTGAGCGCTACCGGAGTTAGCTGAGCAGAAACAAGCTAGCTGACGGCTTTTGCTAACAGTGTGTATACTTAAATATTACTGTAGCAGAAGAGCAAAAGAATAACAATTCAACTTGTTTTTCCCGTAGTTTGAGATTAACAAAATATATTAAAGTTAAGATACACTGAATTATTCACAACAAATACAGCAACAGAAAAGGAGAGGAACGTTTGTGACGTGTTGAACAAATGTCTGTGAAAACCACAAGCAAAATAATTAAAAATGAGTCTCTAAAAAAAGCTGTAGGTTAAGTTTAAAACAAAAGATAAGTAAAATAATCGGTAAATAAGCATTAGAAGAAAAAAATTAAATATGTTTAAGCAATTCATTCATTCAACATTCATTTTAAGGTTAGCCAAACAAATGATAATAAAAATAGATTTAACAGCTTTACTAAGAAAACAAAAAGTTAAAATTAAAGCCAAATGTTTTAAGAGGGGAAATATGTCAAAATTAAAAAAAAAAACAAACAATAAAAACCATTGGTTAAAAATATATAAATGTTAACCAAGAGATGTGTGATTTCACTGACACAGAAAACCACAGAACTCCCAGACCAAGTACCAAAAATAGAAACGTAAAGTCGGGTGTTTTTTCTGTCAGGATTCCCTAATTCTGCCTGGAATACACTGCTTTGTAAAACAAAGGGGAAGAACTCTTGCTTCACTAAAAAAAAAAAAGTAATTTGTTTTTTTTCTGTTACGCCATGTGTTTCTGGTGAAACTTTTCTCACTTCCCAATGCATAAAAATAATTAAAAACCAATTAATTCACTCCAGCCCCCCCAGGAATATATTATTAATTTAATTTAAAGTAACCCCCCATCTAAACATAAAAAGCATATAGATAGATCTTAACACATATAGTAATAATATTAAATAATAATAATTGAGAAAACATTTTATATTATTGTTATAAAAATGGGTAAAATAATCCAACGATGGACAGCGAGCGAGACAGAGTGTCGGACCACTGAAGTATTGTTATTGTTGTTGTTAGCATAAAGTAATATTATAAGCTAATGCATACATAATTAAAGGTATACTGTTATCATTGTAACAATATTAATATATATGCAGTACATATATCTATCTATATATGTATATATACTGCATATACATATGCATACATGTATAGCAAGATTATAATAATATTTGGCCTTACCATAGAGCAGCAGGAAACACCAGTGTGAGTAGAAACACAAACAGAACATGCATTAGTGAAGTTCACGTAGATCGTTTATATACACTTGTTTGTTTCGGTTTCTGTGTAGCTGGAGTTTTTTTTTTTTTAATCTTTCCTTTCTATCTCTTTCTCTCGGCGAACAGCAGTGAGTCATGGAATAAGAGGGAAGTTGTGGTAAGACATTTTACCATTTTACTCCATTCAATTCTTAAAATTACACTTAATGTATTTAAACCCCATTTGGTTCCAACAACAGTTACTTTAAAGCTTTTCAGTTTTTTCCCAAATTCAAAAATTAAAAAAAAGACTTGCTTTATATTAAGATTATTCCCTGATGTGAGTGACTAAAATTGTCTTGAATTTTGTCCTTGGCATTTTACCCAGCAATTTAAACTAGAAGTTCATTATATTTCATTATATATACTTGTGAAATGTTTGTTTGGTGGTGTGCCGTGGAGTTTTTCTTCATGAAGAATATTTTTCATTACCGCCCAGGATTTAAAAAGAAAAGTCTTACATAATATTGTAAGAATAAAGTATCAGATTCCCTCAGCCCGTGACAACACAGTGGACTGACTACCTATATTCTTGCATTGTTTCACCACAGAGTTTCACTGATGTGTAACAGAGACGTTTATGACCAAGGAAACTGTTTCAAATGTTGAACATGCAGACACAGGAAAATTGAGTCATCACTGAGCCTCTTTAAGGGAACCTTTTGTCATTCTCATGAAATAATAATAATAATCATTGTTATTAATAGATCTATCATCGTTTTTTATTATTTTAACACTCAATTTTGTCTTAAATTCTGTGACATTGTCTGTTTATCTCTATTTACAGCAAATATAGCCTTGTTATCTGACTTCAAACCACGTGCTTTGTTTAGACTGTATTCGTGGATGTTATTGTTGAGTTCTGAGTACCAATATTGGTTACAGGAAGTAAAACATGCAGGGATAGATCGTTATAGACTGTAGTAGTCGTGGGTAATTACATTTAGCTAAATTGTTGTAGTGGTATCTTATAGAACTGGTCTCAAACTATGGTTGGTGTACCACCTGTGGGGTCTCTTTATTGCAGGGGTGAAAGTGAGGTTTGAATTGTGGGTAAAATTTTGAGGTTCAGTGTCTGTTGGCTGTAGAATGCTTGGCAAAATTAATTAAGTATAGAAGAATAAATAAATTCTTAGAGATAATTTTGACCGTTTAATGTCAACAACAGAAATTACAGTTTAATTGTTGTAACTCATGAAACGGAAGGAATGATATCAGTTTATACCAGGCCTTGGACCAGACCTTGGAGAGTCAATTTCTTTTGGTCTTAAAGCTGTAAGACTGAGACTGAAGCTGATTACTGCCATCTGCTGGAACACAGTTTTGTTTGTGGTACATTTGTAGATGACTTTTTTTGCAGACTCTGCTGAGTAGGGGTTATCTTTTGAGGTATTGAAAGTGTTATTGAAAGTTTTTTTTTTTTTTTTCAGTTTAGTTATCAAAAGTGTTATTGAAAGTTTTTTTTTTTTCAGTTTAGTTATCGCCTCGAGAGAAAGAAAATATTCATGAAACTATCAGCTCATTAATGATTCAGCATTTAGGTACATTCCCAGGTGGAGATGGAATCAAGTCAATAAAAAATGAAAGTCACTCAAGTTTAAATGCAATATCATCTTGAAAATAAAGTTCAACAAATTCAAAAAAAGTATTGGAATGTCACATTCTTCATTATGTCAAATATTAATAACCAGATGGGGTTTTTTTTGGAATCACAAGTCAATGTTGAATTAGCCATTTCATTTTAACACCAGAGCTAGCGTGGGCTAGAAAATTATTGGTACAGATACCAGACTTAACATTTGCTATGGCAGTTCTGGTGCTTTTTACATTTGCAAAAAAAAAAAATCCTTCATTAACAAAGTTTTTGGTGATTTTCTTTAGATGCACCACATTTGTTTCAGTATGAAATAAAACTAGAGTAAAATCCACGAAATTTCTATTGACTACAGTAGCAGCAGTTGTGGTTTCGACCTACCTCTTTGTGGTGCGCTGGTTTCATTTGACTAAGGGTTTTACTTGGTGGCATAAAGTCTGTCTCACTTTTACTTCTTTGTACTGTAAATGTGCATAACTCAGCTCTAAGGTCCAGGGTTCAAGGCTTATCACCGTCTTCACACGTTAGTAATCTTTGACACTTTCAGGAGTTTCAGATAAGACTGATGTCTGTCAAATGTATTTATACAAAAATGAATCTTTTTGAAACCAGAACTTTTCTCTGGTTTTTATTTCATCTTACAGAACGTCTGAAAGGAAATGGGTTTCAGTCTTCGTATGAGGATATGGGGCAGGTTGTTAACTGTTGTCAAAGACATGTTTCAGAATTTGACTGAAAAAGGAATTTCTGATGGAAATACGGCTTGCAGAAGTTTTTATTTTTTATTTTTACAAGTAAGGAATTTCTGTGAGAGTCTGGTTTTCTGTGGATGATTCTTTTATGCCCCTTCTTGATTCCCAAACCTGTTTCTTATGAGACCATTTTGGTCAGACTTTGCCTCTATGTCAGTAAAATGGAAATATATGCCAAGAAAAAGGGGGGCTACAGTAGTACGACCCCTGCCTGCCATGCAGGAGGTTCTGGGCTCAAAACCAAGTTGATTGACCAGGGTGGGTGGTGTCAGGGAGGGTATCTGGTTAAGACCCAAATGTAAATTTAATGATGATTAAATTATAATAAATAATAATAATTAACAGGTTTAGACTGGATTTGGTGGCCTGTGGGCATCACTGATTTATCACGATTCTTTAAAGTAGCAGTGAATTCTAATAAATCCTGGTCATCTGACTTGTGTGGGTGTTTTCTGCAAAATCCACACTTATGTCGGACATAATCTTACTCTCTTACATGACAGCGTAAGGGTGAATCATAGTGCATACACCGACAGCCACTTCCTCTCAGAAACTGAAAAAACAGAAGTGACTGTCGGTGATCACGCAGCGATAAGGGTATCCCTCGTATCCCCCCCAGTTTTCTCCACCATTCCTGTTACACATGATGTTGATTTTCTCACACACATGGAGTTTCTCTCTGGGCATGTGTTTTTTACTCTGTAGTTTCAGGTATCTCTGAGTTTTGTTATGTAGTTCCTTCCTGTTTTCAGACCTGTACACACAGCATCTACACCAGCACTTCAGTCCACTTCCCTTTTTCCACTTATGGTAAACCTCTTTATCTGTGTTAACCCCGACCCCCGATCCCCTCACCTACTACAACTATTACCACCGACGACACCACCACACACACCACACGGATTTTATATGATCGAAGAAGCAAGAAAATAAATAAATACAGTCCCGCAGGTCATCCCCGGTCGTGGTCTCATCCCAGCCGTTTAGTTCTCAGCTGCGACAACAACAACAACAAAAAAAGAAAAGATTTTTGATCATGTTGAAAAACTAAATCTGTGTTCTCTGTTATACTAACAGCTGGTGACTTTTCAACTTGGCGCTGCTCACAAAAATCTGTAAAATATGATTAAACGGTACAAAGCTGCTAAAGCTGTGAGGAGTTTCTCTTTTTGATGTTCAAATATTTGAACATCAAAAGGAAGAACTCCTTGGTTTTTATGATAGTTTAGAGTCTAAACTATCATAAGATCCCAATCTGTGAAAATAAAACTAAATTAAAATGACATCCAAGCGGTAGAGGGACATGTAGATTTTTCTTCTTTCTTTCTTTCCTTCCTTTCTCCCACTCTTCCTTCCTTCAATCTATATGGTTACTTATAGCATTTCTTTCCTTTAGGTTCCATGTGTAGCATGATGTCAACCATGTGCCACCTCTGGACCAATGCAGGCCCTGAAAACTGTGTGTGTGTCCCTGATGGAGGTTGACCTGGTTTTGAGCTCTTGAATGTTGCTGTGGGACAGGTGCAGCGGCCTGTGCTGAACGTTGCATAAGAACATCTGAGGAGAGCAGAGACAGAACAACAAACTGTTAGCTTTGGAGAAGTCTGAAGTGACTCCCCTGCCAGGACTGGGTCTGACGTGTTTGTTCAGCTTGATGTTTTCGTCTTGTTTTCTGTCACGCTGTGCCTTTTTACGTCATGGCTATTGTCTTCGCCAGCCTGGTGGCGCTATAAAAGGAATGAGAAAACGCACCGAGAGACAGATGCACATAGGGTTTTCATGTCATCTCAGTCAGTATCTTGCACGTCTGTCTGCACCAGGAAAATGTACGCAACTGTTGCATCCTTCGTCCTCCTGTGCGTGACTGCGGCCACACATGCAGACCATCATCCCTGTCGTAAGAAAGCGACTGTTATGATTTAGATGATTTTGAGGATTTCATGATTGTTGTGCTGTGTTAAATTCATTCCTTTACCAACTGTTGATTTTCAGATTCACCTAACATGACAGGATCTATGACTGCGGTGAGTTTGATTTATGACACATTTCAACTCTTTCATTCTCTAAAAGCACTGTCGTTACAGTCGAAAGACTTCTCTGTTTTTCACTTTTCTTCTCCAGATAAACATGAAGGGCGAATTCAAAGCCTTCGGCACGTTCACTTACGATTCCATGGGCAAGAAATTGCGCTTCAGGACCAACGAGAGCGCATTCGTGAACACCACACTACACTTGGATCTGCTGATGTTTTTTGAAGAAGTAACTCTTGTCTTGTTTCAACGAATGCTGCTGTAATTTGACTAAAATGAACCGGTGCCTCTCTCGTACGTCTTTTCACTGTTCACACACTGTGACTTGCAGGGAATCCTCTACGAGATCGACAGCAAAAATCAGTCTTGTGAGAAGAAGGCATTGCAGTGCACTTTACATCCTCTGGACGTCCCTGATGACGCTCACTTCATCAGCATGTTAAACCTAGGGAGTCCCTCCATCGAAGGAGAAGGAATGAAGGTCAATGTATGGACCGGAGACCTTCCTGAGAAAGGTTGAGAGAATTTTCTAGAATAGCGTGTGTAAATGTGAATGTGCGGTAACATCTGTCTAACCTGATTGGTTACTGTCTTTTGTGTTGCCAGGCAAATACACCATGAGTGTAACGATGGGATGTTTGCCTGTATCCATGCTCTACCTCAGCGGGTCCAGGTCATTGTTAATTAGGTTGGTGTCTTTTTATTTTACCGTATATTATTTAAAATTCTAAAATGTCTAAGTTGTTAAAAGAAAATATGGAATTCAAATAACATATTTAATGGTTCTATAGTGTAGCGGAGGAACCACATATCCCTTACGGCACCTCCTGTGGCAGCCTGTGTTGGTTGCAAAGACTCGCACTAAATTATCCGAGTGTGGGATGATTATTGTATTTTAATATAAACATCATATTAATAATATAATAAAATATCTGGTGTCATCAAGTCAGTTCATCAGACAGGAAGAGCAGTAGAGAGTTTTTATTTATTTATATTGGGCGACCCTATTAGTAAACAACCGTACAAGAAAACATGTTTAAAAAGACAATATTCAGTAACTCAATGATGCGTTGTGTAGAAATACCCTACAAAAGTAATGCCCCCTTTTCAACTGGAAGGGTTGGATGATGTCATCGTCTCCAGGTTATTTTCTAATTTTGTTTTGATTTCATTTCAGCAACTAGTAATGGGGTTTTCCTAGTTGGAAATTAAAAGAAAAGACCCAATGAAGGATTTGATGGAAAAAAAATAAAAAAAAACGTTTATAAGGTTTAGAAGTTCATAGACTGGGTTTATAGCTCCCCCTGCAGGGGAAAGAGGGCAAACTCAACTCCATATTTTTATGAATTTATAATATATTTATTTTTTGTTAGAAAACTTGTAATCTACTTCTGGAAAAATGTCCAAAAACGTTATGATGATTACACATTGAAATACTCCGTTAAATATCGATTTATTTATAATTATGCCACTTCCTTTAACAGCAACTTCGACATTGAAACGGAGATTAAGGACCCCGATCTCCTGCTGGTGCCCTCCTTCTGCCAGGGGATGCCCGTGGAAGGGCCGGTCAGCAGTTTCTTTAATGAGTTCATGTAGATGTGACTCCCATCAAAACAAATCAAAAATCCGTCGCAAACAGCACCTGACAGAACGTTAGACCTTTCTCTCCTTCCTGTACGTTACTTCAGTTTTTCATGCACTGTCTCCATGACACCTACTACTCATCTGTGAAGATAATGGCTTTAAAAGTGTATGAGCATTTTGATATAAAGGGAATAAACCTGGCATGGACTGTAGATGTAGTTATACTAACAGCTGGTGGCTTTTAAACTTGGCGCTGCTCACAAAAACCTGTAAAATATGATTAAATGGTACAATAAAGTGTCAAAGCTGCCAAAGTTGTGACGAGTTTTTCCTTCTCTGATGTTCAAATAGCCTCTAAACTATCACAACATCCCAATCTTTGAAAATAAAACTAAATTTAAATTAATAATTTTCAACTTTTTCAAATCAAAAAATGTTAGATATTTGGATATGAACATAGATGAGGTGAATCTTTCAATCTAAAATTAAAAAGTTGAACACTTAATTTATATTAAAATGAATTCACCTAAGGTTATGTTTGTTTATCCTTGCAGTTTGTTTTATCACGTGTCGTATTAGGTCAGGATTATAAGCCCTTTTAATTCGACATAACAGTTGTTAACCTTGTTTTGCTGAGAAGCAGACGCTGCCAGTTTATATTTAATAATTTTTTTTATATATATTTATGGCAAATACCGCCGAGTATACTGTGGTTCCATCACTGTCTGACAGGATAAGACCTCTTACGTACACTTCCCTGTGTCACCGACAGGTGGGGTGTGTGCGCCACATCAATAACAACGCAAACACAAAACTGTACCTTTGCTATTTAATAGCCACCGAGGACTCGTTATTTGATTATTTAAATTATACTTTTCGAAGTTTGGAAAATACCAGTGGAAAACCCCGTTTGCAGTGGTCTTTCGACAAAGTCATACACATTTGGATTTAAACTGCTTTTAGTCCGTGTATGATTTAAAAACAAGGTAAGTTGTAAAATGGCGGATGGCGAACGTTAACATTCTGGGAGTTTGTCATTGATGCTGTTGCCTGGACATCTCAAAACACATGCTTGGTGATCAAATTTGAAAAATCTTGCTTCAATAAAGACATTTAACAAAGTCCACGCTGCCGACGTTATAAGTAAGAGCTACAAATGACTCCAGCTTCTGTTTAGCTGTGGACTGTTAGCAGGCTAACCCCATTGCTAGCACAACTAGCAACAATTCTGATGCTATGACCATTAAAATTCAAGGCACTGGCATCTCTGTGAGCAATACATTGTCTAAAGAGTACGTTTCCGTGTCTAAAAATAAATGAATATTTCCGCTAACGTTTGGCAAACACCTATATTAGCCAGTGTTAGCATCGGAGCTGCTCGACCGTCGTGGCCAGAGACAGCACGTCAGTAGAGGAGATGAGAGGGAAGAATCAGCAGCGGCTTCACAAACATCTGTGCTGCTGTTTGTAGTTCGGAAGTGAACAACTGCGCCTGTCTGGAATTATTTCACAGTCCAGTGTTTCCACGGTAGAAATTTTTAGTGTCTATGACCACAAAATATAAGTAAAAACACCAGAGTGAGTAACACGTCTGTTATCGAAGCAGATTCCGCCGCGCGATAAAAGGCGATTGACGCGATGCCATATATGGACACAGGAAGTTCAGAACAACAACGACGTATTGCAATACTGTAGGTTCGCAACGCTAGAGTCAACAAAGCGCCATTATTTCTTAGTCATTAACAACTAAGTGTTCTTTTTATGTTTGTTCGTTCGTTCTCAGTGCTGTCATTCGGCTCTGTGACGTAATTCGCTGAAAGAACAGGGACATGTGCAAAAACAAGAACAAATGTCTTCTCAATGTATTCCCTTTTTTAAATACCTACAAAATATTATGTTATCACTGTATGCACTCTTTTGAATAGATGCGTTCAGGGGTAAATTAATTGGAGACTGATCATTTTCAGGTTGCCAATTATAAATAAACGTTTGCTGCTTTTATTGATTAAAAAAAAATATTAGCTTTGTAAAAAAAAAAAAAAAAAAAAAGGAAAAAAAAACGGGCAAGTGGTGGCTTAGTGGTTAAGAAGTTGGGTCCATAAGGTTTCAGGTTTGAGTCCACCAGCTGCAAAGTTGCCCCTGAGGTGCTCTGAACATGGCACCGTCCTACAGAGCACACTTAAAAATAATGTGTTGAATCATTCTTAAAAGTACTGTAGTACTGTACTGTGTATATTTGTCATCAATGTCATAAATTAACACACACGTTCTACATGTCTTGAAGGTGCAGTTTAGAAGATTATTTTTTGCTTGAGTCCAGAGCATCATCATCACCATCATCATTAACAGCGGCAGCAGCAGCACACACTCCTGCAGATACAAAAAATGTTTCAGAAATGATAGCAGCGCAGGATTTTCTCCCAGAATTTCACTCTCCCCAGTAAGCACATAAAAATGAATTAATTCCTGGATTTTTAAAAACAAAAACCTACATTTTTTTATGACTAACTTCTTGATTTATTGTTCACAGAGAGGTAGAGTCTCAGTTATCCTCGGATACTGATCTCGAGGATCCCGATGGCAAAAATGTCAAGGCTGGAAAGGGACTGGTATGTTTGATGTCATCATAAAATTCACTGAACTTTTTAGAAACCTGAGTTGGAAGAGTGATGAGGTTTCTGTTCATCCAGCTTTGCACTTGTAGAAGCCACAGAATTTCCCACAGTAGTTTCACAGGATTGACAGAAAAAACATTAAATATTGTTGAGCAGTTTTGCCTGACGAGATGGTTTTTGGGTTTTTTTTTGCTGGTTGTTTTAATTTTGTTGTACACATTCAAATATGTTACATTATTATTATAGGCAGCAAGAAAAGGGAGGAAGGCTGTTGGCGACAAGGCCAAAGCTGGAGCTGGGAGGGGCGCTGGTCCTGGCTGGATGAATGGCCATCATCAGGAGAATGGGATGGAGAACATGACTCTTTTTGAGGTGGTCAAAATGGGCAAGAGTGCCACACAGGTGGGTACAACCAACACAAAAAAATAGCTGCATTTCCTGTTGTATTATCTCACTACTGCGAAGAGTTTGGATCATGTGTGTTTGTCGTTGTGTTGTTTCTTCATGTAGTCTGTTGTCGATGACTGGATTGAGTCGTACAAACAGGACCGTGACGTTGCACTCCTGGACTTAATCAACTTCTTCATTCAATGCTCAGGCTGTAAAGGTGAGTTTATGCCAAAACTGTGTGCGTTTGTGTCTAAACAGAAAAAGTAAAAGTACTGATATTCGATGGTTCTTCACACAGGTGCTGTGAGCGGGGAGATGTTTAGAAATATGCAGAACTCCGAGATCATTCGTAAAATGACGGAGGAGTTTGATGAGGTGATCCAAGTGGAAGGAAAAAAATATGAAAATATTCTGGACTGAAGCTAATTATGTGACTGTTTCTCTTTTCAAATAGGACAGCGGTGACTATCCATTAACTATGTCAGGGCCACAGTGGAAGAAATTCAGGACAAGTTTCTGTGACTTTATTGCGGTCCTAGTGCGGCAGTGTCAGTACAGCATCATCTACGATGAGTATATGATGGACACGGTCATCTCACTGCTCACTGGCCTGTCAGACTCACAGGTCAGAGCGTTTAGACACACAAGCACACTAGCAGGTTGGTGTATTTTTTATTCTGCACTTTTCCTTCTAGGACTGTCAAAACGATCACTTTAATTCTTTTGTGAAAAGAAGAACCGTCAAATGGACTGTGATGAAGACTAAAGACTGATTAATATTATTGTGGACATCAGCTTCACCAAAGTTTTGAAAGAAACTCATGACACCAGCACAGATCGTTGGAGAAACCCATATTTTACATTATTGTTGTACTGGTTAGGTTTTCAGGTGTCCTTCACACGTGCATCTGTTCTTTATCTCCTCTGTCAGCCATGAAGCTGATGACGGCACTGGTGAACGTTGCTCTGAACCTGAGCATCAACATGGACAACACACAGAGACAGTATGAGGCGGAGAGAAACAAAGTGGTTGCAAAAAGGGCCAACGAACGTTTGGAGCTGCTGTTACAGAAGAGGAAAGAGGTGAGAGGGAAATTGTTTACGCACTTCAAAACAATCATTAATACCTATATATACTATATATATACACACTAAAATAATCATTAATACCTTGAAAAATATACACAAAAATGATAATTCTGGTTTTTGTGTTTAAGCCTGTCTCTTGAAAATCCTAACTGGAAATGTGAATGATTAGGTCACAAAATTAATATATGGTAAATATATATATGTATATATATATATAAATCTTTTTATGTTTTTCTTCCAGCTTCAAGAAAATCAAGATGAAATTGAAAACATGATGAATGCAATTTTCAAGGGAGTGTTTGTTCACAGATATCGGTATGTGACTCCCTCACTGGGCTACACCAGAATTCACTTAAACAATACAGTTGTGTTTCTCATATTTGACCTCTGCTGCCATCTAGAGTAAAATCAAGAACCTGCTAAATGCATATTTGTTCTTTTTTCTTCCACATTACAACACTAACCCTACTCAGTGGCTGAATCCTAATCTGATTTAATTTTGTTTTCCATTTCCAGTGATGCCATTGCTGAAATCAGAGCCATTTGTATTGAGGAGATCGGAGTGTGGATGAAGTTGTACAGCGACGCCTTCCTCAACGACAGCTACCTGAAGTACGTCGGCTGGACGATGCACGACAAGGTGAGCTGTCCTGTCACTTTCATAACAGGCCGTCCGTCGTCTTCATTGCCTGAACACAGAGCAGCACGTGAAATATTTGACTTGGTTCTGTCGTGACTACAGCAAGGTGAGGTACGGATAAAATGCCTGACGGCTCTGCAGGGCCTGTTCTACAGCAAAGACCTCAGTCCTAGGCTGGAGCTCTTCACCAGTCGCTTTAAGGTGAGCTGAAAGCTGCACCATTGTTTTTTCTATTAAAAAAAAAAATCATGCGTTGAGATTCAGATTTTTTTTTTTCCTTTTTGGGTTATTCTATAAACTTTCTACCAATGACAGGACCGCATTGTGTCGATGACTCTTGATAAGGAATATGATGTCGCTGTGCAAGCCGTTAAACTTCTGACCCTTGTCTTACAGTGAGTGACTTTTTCGTTGTTTTTTTTTATTTAAACATGATATCCAACAAAGATCTAACACAATCACAGCTGTGATGTCATATTTTTTGGTAAAAGGGGAAATATTATACAAAAGAATTTTAGTACACATTTGTCCAATGTCCTGCCAGTTTACCATACCTGTCAGAATAGCATACATTACCTTGATTCAAAACACTGTGGAAAAAAAAAGCTCTCAAACTATTAAAATATAACCATAAATGTGGCATCATTCAACAGGAGCACTGACGAGGTTCTCACCGCAGAGGACTGTGAGAGCGTTTACCACCTGGTTTACTCGGCACATCGACCCATCGCTGTCTCCGCAGGAGAATTTCTCTTCAAGAAGTGAGAGTTTATCATAAATTTGTAGTTGAAATGATGTTATCTTTGCCTCTGGCTTTTTTAAGGCTCCAAATATTTATGAACTTTGAACAGTGGTTTGTGCTCTGCTCATTAAAGGCTCTTCAGTCACCGCGGTCCAGAGGACGAGGGGTTACCCAGGAAGGGCAGGCAGAGCCTCAACGGCAGCCTCATTAAAACAACTGTATTCTTCTTTTTGGAGAGTGAGGTAACCAAACCAGATCCTCGTGTCCTAAAGTGCATCATCACAACCTCAACCTCAGGAGTTCCCATTCAGTAACGTTTGATGTTTCACAGCTGCATGAGCACGGGGCCTACTTAGTGGACAGTTTGTGGGAGTGTGGGTCAGAGCTGCTGAAGGACTGGGAGACCATGATCAGCCTGTTGCTTGATGAGCCCATGTCGGGGGAGGAAGGTAAAAGAAAGAGGCCCAGATTTAAAACATCTTTAAAAATCTGCTTCTTTCCTCCTCAGTAACTTCACGTGTCTTTGGATTTTCAGCCCTGACCGATGGGCAGGAAACTGCTCTGGTTGAGCTCATGCTCTGTGCCGTCCGGCAGGCGTGTGAGTGCCACCCTCCTGTGGGCAGGGGCACAGGAAAGAGGGTGAGTTACTTCACTGCATAGACATTGTCACTTTTTTTTCATGGAAGATTTGATGTTTTAACCCATTTGGATTGTTTGGGTGAAGGTCCTGAGTGCCAAAGAGAAAAAAACTCAGCTGGATGATCGCACACGAATCACAGAGATGTTTTCTGTTGCGTTGCCTCTGTTACTGGCAAAGGTGAATACTTTTTGGTCAACTTTTTTTTATAATGTTGTTGCTCTAAAAGGCTGCAGCCTTAACAGCTTTTGTTCTTTTTTGACATAGTACTGTGTGGATATTGACAAGGTGTCCAATTTGCTCCAAATTCCAAAGTACTTTGACCTTGACATCTACACAACTGGACGGTTGGAAAAGGTTGGTCAGTTTTTCTAAGACTAGTTTCACACTGCAGGTGAATGGGGCCCATCTCTGTTCTTTTTTTTAACACAGGCCAAGGTTCTTAATCAGATGCTTATCCATTGAAGGAGCTAGTCAGTGGGGAAAAAAACGAGATTGTCAAAGTTTTTCTTATTCCTGG